TGGAAATAGAGAATATTTACACACATATGACAAGGGAGATTCTCTAGTGAGCTCCAATTCTGACACTGTCCACCTGAAGATACAAATTAAAGGCTAAGCCCCACAATACTGTCATCACTCAAATGCCAGTCAAAAGTGCAGATTCTTCTTTGTGATTCTGACCATCTAGTTGTAAATCAAAATTTACATGGACTCCTGATTGAATTTCATTAATTTGACAGCATGACCTAAAAACCCCAGGGAAACATAATATTGCTGATGATTTTATGTAAATGGCTTTGAAAAGGAATACAGGGGAGTAGCCAGATGATAGCCAGCAAGGAACATGGGAAGGAGTGCAGACCTCTCCTGCCATCTCCCGTGTGCCAGCCTTCAGGAAATCTCCACATGGTCAGCTATCTGAAAGGTGGTCTTGCCTTATTTTGAGGGTTAAATAGAAGTAACAAAATATAACTGATTAAATCTTTGGCCATTGGTGATAACTTCACCTTCAGCTCTTTTATCCTCACAACCTTGTGAGATAGAGGTGAAAGTTCCACCCATCAAATTAATGCCTTAATTTCTCCAGTGACTTGCCCCTATTCGGAAGGATATCTAGGTATGTAAGGCCACCAGTCATGTCATTAGCACATAAAAGGTACATATCTCTTTCTGGTGAATACCAGAGGGTTTTTAAGTTGCATTCAGGAGACAGAGATTATTAATATTAGGTATTTCATAATGTAACAGTCTTTCCCCATTTTCAGATACCCATCCCTTTACATCAAGGACATAAAACCTCAAATGATAATGAGGCAATACTAGAATCCTACTCAATCATTAATAATTACCCTAATTTGTTATCTAGAATGTCTCTATGGGTGAGAATACTGAAAAATATAGGCTTCATCCAAAACTTCTCCAATTCTAAAATTAGGAATAGCAGGCTTTTATTTGATTGAACTAAGAAACACTGTCATCTCTTTCTCTGAACCCCCTTTAAGGTATTAAATAGTATTAGATTGCCCTCACTGTGTAATTCCATTTATTCATTTGTGACACACAACTGATTCCTGCTTTCCTTTATATCCAGACTTTGTCACTTTGGGAAGAGTAATTAGGTTTGTGTAGTGTGCTTATCTAGACTATAGGCAGCTAGTCAAGAGGAAACCTTCCCTCAGTCTACTACCATTTAGACGGTAAAGTGGACATGTGTCCCGCTATCTATAATGTTACTTCCAACTGTGGTAAAGGTACAACACACTTTCATAAGCCCTTTGGGAGTTTTAAAGGGTTTTAAAACATAGTATATGAGAATGTACTTCAGTGTGGAGTGCTTCATTATTAGCATTTATAGAATCTTGAGTTCAATTCCCGACAGAAAAATGAAAAACTTGAAATTTCTTGCTTCAGAATCATTATGTTTCCAACACTTATGGGATTTCTTGTTTGTTTTATGTATGTATGTTTGGATATATTATTGTTTTTTTCAGTACTGGAAGTTCGACCAAGTACTTCATACATACTAGTCAAGTCTCTTACCAGTAAGCTGTATCTGTAGTATTTTCCTTTTGTGAGACAGATCTCAACCAAAATACCATGCTGACCTTGAACTCTGCAGCTCAGACAGGCCTTATCCTTGTCAGTACCACCCCACCTTAGCCTCCTTGGCAGCAGAGATCATGGGCCTGTACCACCAGACCCAGCACTTAATAGTTTCTCCCTAGTCCTATAACCATTGCATCAGATTAAAAACAAAAGAAAAAATGGAGATGGTCTGTGAAAGAGAAAGAGGGTATAGACACATTCTGTATTAGCAGGTATTGCATAATCCTCTGTCTTCATTCACCTCTCTTGATACATCCACCAGAAAAATAAAAGAATGCCGAATGGGAATACTCCTTTTGTCACACCATTCTGAGTATGAGCACACACTCGTTGACCTGTCATCTCAAAATAACAGTCTTACCAGTTTGGAGAAGCCATATGTGTTAGAAGCAATTTCAGAAAATAGAAAAGCAGACCAAATGTATATTTTACAATATACAACTCAGCTAGGCTCTTCTAGCCATAAAATGATGACTTGACTTTGCTGTTATAGAGGAGTCTTTTCTTTTTTTTTAAAAGATTTTATTTATTTATTATGTATACAGTGTTCTGTCTGCGTGTATGCCGGCAGGTCAGAAGAGGGCACCAGATCTCATGACAGATGGCTGGGAGGCACCATGTGGTTGCTGGGAATTGAACTCAGGACCTCTGGATGAGCAGTCAGTGCTCTTAACCTCTGAGCCATCTCTCCAGTCTTTTCATGCGTCTCAGAGCTGTCATTAAAGAAGAATCTGTTTGTGAGGCAGATCCAAGCAGCAATCTCTCCTTCCTTTTTTCCTTGGTCTTTAATTATGAAAATATACAACTAGCCCCCCTGTCCACTTTTCCTGAGTACATGGCATATGAGAATGTTTTTATAAGTATTCTGATTCCAAAGCCAACAGAATCAACATTGCCTAGGAACTGAAAATTTAAAACAAGATGCATGTTTTCGTTTATACTTTGTTGGCCTATACCTTTGAGATATGGTGTTTATAGACCTTTACTGTCCATATTGTTCCACAGAGGCAAAAGAATTGTACATTTTAATTTGAAGTTATCACCTTTAGTACTAATGTGTTAAGATTCTGAAAGGGGCCTGGAAAAATAGCTCAGTCACTGCAGTGTTTCCTTTAGAAGCAAAGGATATAAGATTTATAACAGGGACTCATTTAGAAAAGGCCCAGCATAGTGGCATGCACATTAGCCCAAACACTGGGGAGGTGGAGATAGGAAGATCCTGGGGCTCACTGATTGGCGAGCCTAGCTTCCTTGGGGAGTGCCAGGTCAGTAAGAGACCCTACCTCAAAAAAGAGAATTCAAGCTTGGCTGGCTAATATAATAGGAAAAAAAGAAGACTAGAATGCTTTATTTGTGTCAGTGCTGCTACCATGAAAAGCTGTGAAAAGTAATTAGAAAGCAAATACAGCTAGAGTTCATCTCTTTTCCTGTACATTATAAAAACCTTAATCTTGTGCTTATACTTGTTCTTGTCAGCCCATAATTTTAAATATTTAAGCATACATTACCAAAAAGGAGAAGAAAATTGTGGGCTTCTAAAAGCCAGAGGTTATAAATAGAATAGATTAAAAAATGAGATAAAATGTAAGTGCTCAAAGTGATTTATTATAATGGAAATTTTATTTCATTATTATATTTTCATTATTTGTAAAAATATACATACATATTATGTTTTAACCTATTAATTGCTTTTTAAAATTTAGAAACATTTTTAGGGAGAAAATAGGAATGAAAACATTTTTAATATTCTGTCACCCTTTATCTGTTGTATCTCCTAACTAGATAACTGTCAACATTCCTCTTCTGTGTGTTCTATAATTGTAATGCTTTTTACTTCAATGCAGTGTTTTTTATTAAACATTCTTTTTATTTGTTCTTTGTGTCTTTCACAACATGTATCTCAATTCCTTTTGTTTCCCATCCCTTCATGTCCACCCTCTGCGCTTGCATCCTTCCCCCCAAAATAAAATAAATTTAAGAAAAAAAGAGGACAAATCTCTACATGGAAGCTGCAATGTGACACAGTGAGTCACGCAGTAAACCCTTTTGTTTATATATCTTTACTTGCAAGTGTTCATTGCAAAGAGTCATTGGTCTGGTTCTAGGCTTCTGGTTTCTGCTACTGGGACTCCTCTTGGATACCCTGTTGTTACTCTGTGTCATGGAGATCCTGCAGCTTTGGGTCTGCAGGACTAACACCTTTCTGTACTCCAGCAGATGGGTGGATGTTGCTCATCACTCTGGTTCTGGGCCTAGGGAGTTGCAAGGTTGGTAAGCCTGACATATCTCTCCTGTCTTCACCACCAGGATATCAATGAGCAAGGGGTGGGGCCAGTTCTCCTGCTTTCATGCCTTCAGGGTTGGCTCTCCTGCACCTATACCTTCAGGGCCAACTCTACTGTGCTGCCTAGGTCAGGTACAGGGGCCGGGTTCCTGAGTGCTGAAATAGGTAAGGGTTGGGGGATAGCTCCCTTGCCACCAAAGGTGGCAGGGGCAAGGGGGGGAGGGCATCTTGCCCTCATCACCACATGGCAGACAAGGGAGATGTGGCCAGCTATCCCATTCTTGCACCCTCAGGGCCAGCTCAATCCACACCTCTATCAACATGGTCAGCTCTACTATGCTGCCCTGGTGAGGAGCAGGGCTCTCTTTCCTGAGTGCTGCAGCTGGTAAGGGAAGGGTCAACTCCCTCATATGTTGCAGGTGGTGAGAGGTAAAGGGGGCATCTCTTCCCACCCACACTGCTGTCAATACAGTATTTTTATTGATAATTGTCCTGAGAAGATAGTTCCCCAGGAAAAGGTGCTTGTCAACAAACCTGATGACCTAAGGTAGATCTCCAGATCCTACGTGATGGAAGGAGACAACTGTCTTCTTCAAGTTGTCTTCCAACCTCTATCTGTGTGTCGGCATGCATGTTCTGTTATGGCATGCAAACATACACCTAATGAATTTATAAAATACAATAAAATTTTAGTTATGCTTTTCAAGGAGGAAAATACCTTTTCAGTTTTTCTTTTGTCATATGCCAGGTACATTTCAATTTTTTTCCATTGAATTATGTACATGCCTGCCAGTGGGCAGATGTTCACTATGTTCTTTTCTTTCTTGGAAATTGACTTTTTACTTTACCTTATAAAAACATTAAAGGATTAAATTAAAGGTGCTTAGCTTAAGAAAATAGTCATGATTTTTCTGTCCTATTAGTCTTCTATATTTAAGTAAGTTTCAGTGTCTTTGAAAATGGTCACAACCTTTTCATTTATTTGATAATACTGCACTTAGAATTCCAACATTTGACAAGTCTTAGAAGAGGTGATTTCTTTGGCTATGGAAATAGGATTTCCTTCTTATAACTGCCTAAAAATTAACCATATTAAAGAGTATGTATGTGTTTATGTCCTTGTTTTTAGGTGGATTATGTATTTACAGATAAGACTGGAACACTCACTGAAAATAGCATGGAATTCATTGAATGCTGCATTGATGGGCACAAATATAAAAGCACAACTCAGGAAGTTGATGGAGTATCTCAAACTGATGGGCCCTTAACCTGTTTTGATAAAGCAGATAAGGTGGCATTTTCCCAATTCATATTTTACTTGAGAAATCAATCTTCGTAGGCATGCTTTATCCTTACATAGTATAAATACAGAATTTTCCAATGGGTACATGATACAGACCTTTGAATAATCATTTGTTCTTGTGACTACACCTTTCTTTTATTAACACATTTACCATTTATAAGCAACTAGAACTTACAAGTGGATTTATAGGAAATGACATTTGAATAAAATATTAGCTTGGCTATATGCAGATTCATATTAAAAAATATCAGCTCCTGTAAGAATGTTTTCTCCAAATCATTGAAGTTCTGGGTTTTGCATGTTAAACTGATCAGAGTCTTCTTACACATGAACAATTGCCAGATTGTGACTTAGATAACCTAACTACCTCTTAGGCCATGAAAAAGTTACCACCTTAAGTATAGGTGGTACTACACTGACCTGGATGACTTAATACATATTCTAGGGATACAGACTAGGAACCAGTAATTCTATTAGTTCCTAGATATTTGTTTGAGTATTATGAATTTATAAATTTTCTTTAGTGATCTCCCAGATATTATAACATACTGTCACATTTATTTATTTGCTCACTGTCTGGTTACCTAGTGATAATAATAAAAATAACATTTTTTGGTTTCTGTTCTACAGAACCGTGAAGAGCTCTTTCTGCGTGCCCTGTGCTTGTGTCACACTGTAGAAATTAAAACAAATGATGTTGTTGATGGACCTACAGAAGCAGCTGGATTCACCTATATCTCCTCCTCACCAGATGAAGTAGCTTTGGTGAAAGGAGCAAAAACGTAAGCATTTCTTATACTTCTGAGAAAATGAAACCACAGGAGGGTAGGGGTTCTTTTGTTGTTTTTTCATTTGCTTCAGTGACTCTATCATGTGCCTCTCCTATTATGTAAGTTCAAAAAGAAAATAATGATGTGTTAGTTTCCTTGCCTTTTTTATGGGTCTCAGTCAGCAATCCAAATTGTTATATTATTTTGTATATCATGTAACAGTGGCAGCTTTTGCATAACACTTTATTTCTGAGTGCTGACAGCCATTTTGATGTCATTTGGTAACTGACAATCCAGTTTACCCATGAGATTCAAGATGACTAAGTACCTAAAAGGTCATATACTGTTTTTGCTAAAAAAAATTGGAATTACAAATTGTTTCCCTCTTAAATACAGTAGTAGCTAGTCATTGGTTTGCTCTTTGTTGTCAGCTCATCTTGAAAACTGAATGCAATTGGAGATTGAGATCTTATAGTAGAAGAAAGGAATTTATAAGGGTAGGTAATGACAGTGGAAGAGGAAAGTAATTGTTTCTTGAAGATAAACAGGTTTTTTTTTTGATAGGTTTGGGTTCACATTTTTGGGAAATTGGAATGGACATATAAGAGTAGAGAACCAAAGAAAAGAAATAGAAGAGTAAGTAGCTCCGTGTTGTGATGTTTGTCTTTTCTTAACCCAATTATGAGCATTAAATGGATTCAGAAAGGAATCTCCCATTTCACAGTTTTATATAAATATGGTTGGAGTAGGAAAAGCCATTTTTCATAGAACGTCAAAAATGAGGATTTGAAGTATAAGTTCCAGTTTGGTTTACATATTGTCCAGTAGTCTGAATGAGTCTTGCTGAACTATTTGAAATGTAAATGAATACATTCACTTACAAGTCCCTTCCTTTTTTCCTTTTTAATTCTTCTGTATGATTTAATCTAATTAATAGTTCATCCATACATACACAAATCTAAGCCATCTCATAATGTTATTATATCCTTTAAACCCTTCTATGGCTTCTTACTGTTTTGGGATAAAATGACACGTTTCTGGAACAGCACCAAAGTTCCCAGTTCTCAGCCCTTGCTTACATGAGTACTTCATTTCTTGCTTTTCTGTCATTGAATTTTCCAGACATTGCAAACTCCCCATAAAACATGTGCTGCCATGTGTGCTTTCACACGTTTTCTCCCCTATGCTCTAAAAGTCAGCCCCATTTCCTCATCATGTCATTCTTTTAGAATACAGCTTATACCCGTTTCCAGGAAACGTTCTTTCAATTGGCCTTCTATTCTGTGCTCAAGTTTCTTCCTTTTGAGTATTTTTGATTAAAGTATTTCATGGACATGGAATGTAGTTATGTTACATTATCCTTTATCTCCTTTATAATATGGTAAGTTATTGGAGAGAAGTGTCTTTGGCAGATTCATCTCAATTCCTCAGAACCTGGCACATTGCCTGTCTCATAGTAGGCACTCCAAAATTACGATCACACTGTACACCCTCCAGGTCTAGCTTGGTGAGCCAGTTCTTTGTTTTCCATTCCTACATAGTCACTCTCTTTATAAGTTATACAGGTTGCTGGAGAGATGGCTCAGTAGTTAAGAACACTGGCTGCCCTTCTAGAGGACCCAGGTTCAATTCCCAGTACCCACATGGCAGCTCACAACTGTCTGTAACTCCAGTTCCAGGCAATCTGATACCCTCACACAGACATACTTGCAGACAGAACACCAATCAATGCTCATAACATCAAAATAAATGAATTATTAAAAATAAGTTATACAGTGGGAAAATAAAAATAACTTTTACTGCTATTACCAGCATGCTCTACATGCAGAGAAATTCCAAAGAAAAGTGAAAGTACCAGTTGTATACAAAACTTACTTTCCCACACCCAAAGAGCAAAGCTTTGTCTTCATTAAGATGTTTTAGCCCTGTGCTTTTTCTTATTCAGTGTAGTTGTGGTATTTCACTTTTTTGTCTTTCGTTTCCTAAAGGTATGAACTTCTCCACACCTTAAATTTTGATTCTGTTCGCCGACGTATGAGTGTAATTGTAAAGACCCAAGGAGGTATGCATCTTTAAAATTTGACTTATCTTTTTCTAATTGTAAGATTTGGTTATCAACTTTTTGAGAAAAGGAAACATTTTATGTAGTTTAGGAATAAGTAGTCTTGCAGATTTTACTGAAACAGCACCTCTGTGTCACTGAATGGTCTGGAATTCTCAATTATAGAAGTCGAGTACAGAGAGTGGCTGGTTTTCAATCCTTCTCTACCTCGCTTATTCTCCTACTGCTTTACACTCCTTGGAAGCAAGTAGAGATGTATGATTAACCCAAGTTTCTGGGAAAGGGCATTTTTGTTTCATTCCAGAGCTAAGAACTCTAAAAGAATAAAACTTGCCTTTTCAGAGAAATGGGTACCATCATCTCTAGGCTCTTCAATGTCTTTGGAAGGCACTATAGTAGTTTGTCTTCTGTTCAGATTCTGGAAGTCCCATGGGAAAGTACTCCTACTTTATTCTCAAGCTCTCAGATGTATGTATATGTGTGCACATGTGTTCCTTTGTCCTAAAAGGTTTATTTTCAAAATATCCTTAGTATTAATTCTGCCACAAATTCTTTAATGAGTAGAATAGGAAAATGGAGACAAACCCATTGTGAAACATGGTTCATTTTACTCATGCTTTTGGGATGGCTGCAAAGTCATGAGATTACTTTCAGTATATTTCCATGAAATTTGTTTATGACTTAAACACACTTCAGATGTATGATTAGAAATGAAACATTTAGCATTTGAATACTTGCTGCTTTTATGTGTACATATCTATACCTATATTCTTCTGCAAATGGTAAAATACCTACAAAAATGATACGCAAAGGTCAGTGATCCCAAAGCTACACTTTTTAATTTGTTCAACTATTTACCTCATAAGGATAAAGTACTTTTTAATGCTCAACAGTATATAATCTAAAACTGTACTGATAATATCAGCATTCCACAAAAAATATTCTCAAGTACTTAGTACAGCCAATCAAGCAAGTGTTCTTCTAGTTTATTCAAAGATGAATTCAAGGTGATGGAACTTGAGTTTGGTTTTTGTCTGTAGGTCATGACTGGCTACATTTTTGAAGATAAGTCACCTGGAGTTCCTTGATACAGCCTAGTAGTTCATGATTTACTAGGAGGAACTTTAGCAGGGGTACATGTAGTAGTATCTGGTTTATTTATTGTGTCTATAATGTTCTGGAGGGATGGTGATTGTTCTGATAAACTAAAGCTCTAGATATTTCATTCCATTTGATTGAACATTGCAAAACAGATTCAAAATAGATAGCAGCTTCATGAGAGAGGCTAAGTTATCTCTTCTTAAAATCTTAATACCAGTCCTCAAATTCTAAGTTGAGTACTTTGGTTCTTTATTTTAGGAGATATACTACTTTTTTGTAAAGGAGCAGATTCATCTGTTTTTCCCAGGGTGCATAACCATGAAATTGAGTTAACCAAAACCCACGTGGAACGTAATGCAATGGTGAGCCTGTGCCTTCCCCTTCAATAAGTAAATGGAGAAATGCTGGCTATAACTATGTTTATGGTCTTAAAATAAGTTAGTTACAGTTCATTTTAGTTTATTTTGTTGTCTACTTTTTGTACTTGGAAATTTGGTTATATTCCTATATTCTTTTTTTTTAATAAAAACTTATTCTGGACCAATATTGTGGTCAGACCTAGTATTTGGTAAAGATGTTTCAAGGATCTTTTCAAAAGAGCTATTAGTTATTTAGAACTTAACTGAATGTTAACTTTAAAGTTACATGTGTCAGAATTTCTCTTGTACATATAGGTAAAGCAAATGCATTTAAAGAATATGGCTGGAGCTAGGGAAATGGCTTCGCGGTTAAGAGCATGCACTGGTCTTGCAGATGACCCGAGTTTGGTTCTCAATACCCATAGTGGGTAGCTTATAACTACTTGTAACTCCAGCTCCACTGGATCTCATGCGTCTGGCCTCCACAGTAACCTGCACTCATATGCACATGATCATACACAGATACATACTGACACACACTCAACACATAATTAAAATAAATCTTTAGAAAGTGTATGACATTCATTCAGCTATTACAGAGGTAACTGTAGACTTTCTGCTTTGCTTCTAGGATGGCTATCGGACTCTTTGTGTAGCCTTCAAAGAAATTGCTCCAGATGATTTTGAAAGAATTAATACACAACTAATAGAGGCAAAAATGGCCCTGCAAGATAGAGAAGAAAAACTGGAAAAGATTTTTGATGAGATTGAGACAAACATGAATTTAATTGGAGCCACTGCTGTGGAAGACAAGTAACTAGATGCTCTTACTAATTTTATTTTTGAGGTTATAATATAATTACATGATTTCCCCCTTCCCTTTCCTCTCTCTAAAACCTCCCATGTCCAACTCTACTTTGTTCTCTTTCACATTCATGGCCTCTTTTTCTTTAAATTGGCTGCTTGTGTGTATATTCCTAAATATATAAATGCCTACTCAGTCTATATAATGTTACCTGTATGTTTGTTTTCAGGGCCAACCATCTGGTATTGAATAACCGATTGGTGTGCATGTCCCCTGGAGGAGACTGTTTCTCCTCCCTCAGTCAGCATTCCTTCATTATGTGTAGTTCTTTATCTCTTCCTGCACTTTCCTTGAGCCACATTAGCATATCTATCATCTTTGTTCAGGTCTACTCTTGTTATTTTAATAACCAGTCACTTAAGCAAGTGTGACCCACATTAGTAATTTATTCACATGTTTGCAAATATCTCATTTGGCATTGTCATTTGTGTAAACCTAAAGTTTATTTTACCAAGTATAGAAAATATAACATTTTAAACTCTAGAAATATTTTCAAATTAAATACATGTATCTTGGAAAAATGAATCTATTACCAATAGAATTTTTGAATATTTACTAAATCGTCTAGTTGTTTATGTAACTTTTATTAAAAAAACAGCCTTACAGTGCATAAAGCAGGATTCTAGTGTCATTATTTGAGCTGTTGCCTAGAAGAATGTGTAAGATTTGGTAAATGAGCAGAAAGGAAATTCATAGTAAACAGCACAATAATTTAACCTTCAACAAGCCAGAATATATGTTTGAATACTTTAAAATAGGATTAAAAATAAGACTTAAATATCTAAGCTGTGCTCTGTCAGACATTGTAGGACTTGGTCAGTGATGGTTTAGCATACTGGTTGCTCTTCCATAGAACCTGGGATCAATTCCCAGCATCCACATGATATCCATAATCATCTGCAACTCCATTTCCAAGGGATACGATGCCTATTTCTGCCATCCTTGGGCACCAGGCATGTACATAGTGTACAAATATATGTGTGTGTGTGTGTGTGTGTGTGTGCAGAAAAAAGGCTATGCACATACATTACATAAGTGTTTTAATTATGAAAAATTACAGATATATTCAACCAATTGAAAGTATTAAAGTTATTATTGTTTTTATTTTGTTAATATTTATTTTTGCTTGGCACTTTCATACATGTATTTAATGTAATTTAGTTACTTCATCCCCATTAATATCTCTCATCCTAGTCCTGCTCCCATTGACCCCTTCTTAAGAACAAGGTTTCCTCCTATTTTCATGTCTGTTTCCTTTTCTGTCTGTCTTTCTGATTTTGTTGTTGTTTGATTGATTGATTTGATTGTTTTTTTGTGTTTTGCAACCCACTGAGTTCAGTTAGAGTTGTTTGCATGAGCAAGGGCAGCGTAATGGTGGCTATGCCACTAAAGAAAATGACTATCCTATTCCAGCAACAATAATTGTCAATAGTTCCTCAGAGAGTAACTATGTGCTCCCTCACCATCCATGATAGAATCATTGATAGGTATTAATCAGCACCCGTTGTAAAGAGAATCTTCTCTAACCAAGATTAGCACTAATCTATTGATGGGGGAAGTCCTGTGTATATGTCAATAAAGCACTGTTGGCCTTACTTGTTTCTTACTGGCTATCTCTCACTTAAGTATTTACCCCATAATTGTTAATCTAACTATTTCTCTTACCGGAGAAATTTCCGGGCTTCCTACCCCATGGCGGTTACATCTCGACTTCCTGTGTTTCTCCTTCCCAGAGTCCTCCTGGACTCCTAGTCCCACCTATCTTGGTTCCCTGTTGGCCAACAGTGCTTTATTGACATATACACAGGACTTACCCCATCATCCTATGAGTATAAATATAAATATTTAAAAGACAGTTTGAGACCATGTCTATTTAATAAAAAAAAAAAAGTGGGTTATCTCTTAGGGCCTAGGGCCTTCCCAGCTATAGACTTTTGACATGAGTTTCCTTCCATGAAATGGGCCTCAAATACAATTTTTAAATATTTATTTATTTTATGTGTATGGGTGTTTTGCCTACACATGTTTTGGTAACTGGAGTTACCGACAATTGAAAGCTGACATGTGAGTACTGGTAATTGAACCCAGGTCCTCTGCAAGAGTAGCCAGTGCTTTTAACGACTGATCCATCTCTCCAGCTCCCTCAGATACAACTTTTAAAAAACAGTTGGTTACTCCTATCAATCATATTCATACTCTTTTGCATCAATGGACACATCTTACCTGGCAGGTTGGTATTGTAACTCAAAGAGTTCATGGGTACAGAAGATTCTTGATAGCGTTTCTCTTCTAGCAGCCTAGTCAAGCACTCTGAAAGCTAGCAAACAGGGAGGAAGCTTGCAACTCAGTAGTTCTAGCTTTGATTTATCTGTCCTGCAAGCATTGTGTATGGTATCTTCAGCAATAGGGTCTTAGCATCTAGTACTCATGAACAACCAAGAACCATGGCAAGAGCTTCTTTTGTTTTGGGGGACCTCTGGAACCTCACATTCACAAGGAAGGACCCAGAGATATGGCTGTTCTTCCAGAGGACCTGGGTTCCAGTTCCAGAGAATCCAGCATTCATTTCTGGCCTCCTCAGACCCTGTATGCACGTGGTGCACAGACACACATGCATGCAAAATACCCATTCACATATAATGTGATGTATTATGATATGATATGTAACATAATTTAAAAACTTACAGGGTGGCATTTGTGGATTTTGATTTAATAACCTATGACTTGAGGAAGCAACATTACCCAGCCATTCCAACTCATTTATAATCTTCACTTTAAAAATACATGCAAATACAAAATAACATGCAGGTACATTGAAGTACTCAAACAAGTACTTGCCAAAACCCAACGTCTACACATTTCAATGAACTTCTATAACTTTTTCTTAAATTATATTTTATTACTTATAAACTATCAAGTTTGAATATGACTTTTTCCATATACCCCTTTATTTTTTTCATTTACCTTTTTGCCCAATCTCCTCTTTTTTTATTCCTTCTCATCTCCCCTTAAACCTTTCCATCTTCAATTTCTGTCCAGAAAGTTTTTGATGTTTACTTTTAATCGTGTGTGTGTGTGTGTGTGTGTGTGTGTGTGTGTGTGTGTGTGTGTGTGTGTGTGTGTGTTGGGAGTGAGAATGTCATGTATGTGGGAATGCCCATGCAGGACAGACATATGATCTCTTTTAGCTGGAGCCACAGGCTGTCGAAACCCATCTGATACTAGGGTCCTCAGGAAGAGTAATACATGCTTTGAACTCGTAACCATCTCTCCAGCCCCCTCCTGAATGTTTCATTAATATATACATTACAAAAAGATAAGAAGTTTCATGTGACATTCCCATACATGCATATATCTTAATCATATTCCCTGCTTTTCATGTTCTTTCCTATCTCCTGTAGTTCCCCTTTCCTTTCCTCCTCTTAGCAAAATTTATTTTGTAAAATTTCGTTGATATTTTGGTGACTGAAAGGAACCCAAAGAATGTGTGATTCTTCTATTCTTTATCTTTTAGAATTGTTCTTAAATTCTCATTGAAAATTATTGGGTTTCCTCTATTTGTTTATTTACTTTTCTTTTTATGAGACAGGATCTCAACTATGTAGCCCTGGCTTAACTGGACCATGTTTGTTAGCATCAAACTCACAGATCTACCTGCATCTGCCTCCCATGTGCTGGGATTAAAGACAAGTTACCATACTGAGCAGCTTCCCTAATCTTAAAAACTCCTCAAAGATAGAAATTTAATAATATAGTCCCAATATCTAATTAGAATGTTTTAGCTCTTTCCATTTTGGAACATGTTAAGAATTTGTGTGGCTCACCCAGGCATGGTGGTACATTCCTTTAATCCCAGCACTTGGGAAGAAGAACTGGCCAAGTGCTGGGAACTCTCTGTGAGTTCAAGGCCAACCTGATCCACATAGTGAGTTCCAGGACAGCCAGGGCTGCATAGTGAGACCCTGTCTCAAAAGAGAAAAAAAACTGCATGGTGAGATGTCATAAAAAATACACAATTTAGTAAGAAAAGCTTTGCCAGAGACAGCACAACTGTGATAAGGAATCAAGATTGTAGCTGTAAGAATGTTTGTTTCAACAGATTCTCTTCTGTCATGAATGTTAGAGGTTAACAAGGCTTCTTTGTGTCGGTAGGCTGCAAGATCAGGCTGCAGAGACCATTGAAGCCCTGCATGCAGCTGGCTTGAAAGTCTGGGTGCTTACTGGAGACAAGATGGAAACAGCCAAATCCACCTGCTATGCCTGTCGCCTCTTCCAAACCAATACTGAACTCTTAGAACTGACCACAAAAACCGTTGAAGAAAGTGAAAGGAAAGAAGATCGATTACATGAATTGTTAATAGAATATCGTAAGAAGTTGTTGCATGAATTTCCTAAAAGCACTAGAAACCTTAAAAAGTAAGAAAGTATATCTACTTCCGATTTTTTCTACTTCTTAGTTATATATTGATACAAATATAAATAACAGATGCTTTTGTAGAATGTTCTATTTGCTGTAGTTTATCATTCCCTGTTGATGTATTCTTATAAATTAAAACCTTCCCCAGAGTACTTAGTTAATGGTCCATTTGAGATCATGTGTCACTTTTACCTCTCTTAATGTAAAAGAAATTTAGATTTCTTAAGATTAGTGTGAAAGCTCATTTTTGTGGGTGGGGGGGATTGGCATTGCTGTAAATTGAACTTAGGGCCTCACACATTCTAAACAAGCACTCTACCACTGAGTTATCTCCAGTTCTCAGGGTTTTTTTAAATGATTGTATAATTCATATGTACAAAAAACATAATATTGTATATAATAATAGGTTAATATGATATTTTGATATATGCATACACTGTATAATGTTTAAATTATAGATAAACATACTTTTTTTCGAGAGTGTTTCTCTGTGTAGCTTTGGAGCCTGTCCTGGCAGTTGCTCTGTAGACCAGGCTGGCCTCGAACTCACAGAGATCTGCCTGCCTCTGCCTCCCAAGTGCTGGCACTTTTCTTTACAGTAAAAACTTTCAGAATCATTTCTTCTTAACATTTTGAAATTTATATAAATTAGTTTTACCTATTGCCACCACATTCTACAGGTAATATACCAGAATTTCTTCATCTTTTCTAAATATTACTTAATGTAAAGGGAGTTCTTAATTGGTCTAAGTAATAAAAACCAGGAGTCAGAGATAGAGAAAAATGCTGAGAGATCAGGGAGAAGAAGGAGCAAGTCACAGCCCCATACCTTACCTCCTTTGTGTCTCAGCAGACAAGAGAGCACGTTTCTGTTTCTCCCTGCTTATATCCTGTTTCCGCCCAGCTATCCCTTCCTGTCTGTCTGTGGAAACCTGCAGACCTCTATGGTTTAGCTAGTGGCAAGCTCAATTCTCTGACTCTCAGGCAGGCTTTATTTGTACAAGTAAATGTTACCACAACTTCATACCCTTTGATCAGCTTTTCCCCATGTTTATATGCACATACTCCCCCAGCCTTTGGTAATCTCCCTTGTAATCTCAGCTTCCATGAGAGCAACACTTTGAGATTCATATGAATAAGATAATATACTATTTGCCTTTTTGTGCTTGGATTATTTTCCTTATTATATTACACATAATATAATGAGTTCCAGGTCATCCATGTAGTTGCAAATGACAGAATTTCATTTCTTTGTAGCTGAATAGTATTCTATGTTATGTGTGTCCCATATTTTTCATCTGTTCAATAGCTGATAGATACTTAGATTGTGTACATCTCTGGACTCTTGTGAATAGTGCTGAAATGAACACTAAAGTCCATGTGTCTCTTTGACATTTACTTAGCTCTTATATATAATCAGTAATGAGATTTCTGGATTATAACAGTAGTTGTTTTCATTTCTTTTTTAAAAAATATTTTAAAGTAGTTCAGTTTCTAAAGATGTAAAATCTGGAATACAGTAACATCAATCTTAGTAACAATTTCCACAATTTTTGAGGTGCCATTTTCCATGTGGATTCTTGTGCCTCAGTACTCCAACAGGAACCAAATAAATAAACTTTGATTCTGTCTTCAATAATAAAAGATTTATCGAGGCTACGGGTTTCAAGAAAAGCTTTTGATTCACAGTAACTCAGTGCCTGGAGATAAGGCGTTCTTCAATTCTTCTCATTTTCTAAGTTTATTGCTTGAATTTAGTGTAGCCATAAGTAAGTTGAATTCCTTTTCTGGAATATCAGGAGTTGTACCTGCAGTAATTGCAGAGACCTCTTGTAAGAAATAATGTTTTCTCCCTCCCCCCCCAAGAGGGGGTTTGAAGAGATTCAGTGGTTAAGAGTATGCACGTAGAGTACATACCGCTTTGTCAGAGGACCTGAGTTCAGTTACCATCACTTACATTGAGTGACTCACAACCACCTAGAACACAAGCTACAGGGGATCTGATGACCTCTTTTGGCCTCTGCGTGCACCTGCACTCATGCGTACATACCCATACACATATAATAAAGAATAGACTAAATCCTTAAAATTTGTATTTATTTATATTTTATGTGTAGCAATGTTCTATTGTTGTGCTATTCATTGTATATGGTTTGTGCCAGTATACAACAGAGCACTGAATTCCCTAGAACTGGAGTTATAGGCCGTTATAAGTTGTCTGATGTGGGTGTGTAGGTGCTCGGGACTGAACCCAAGTCCTCTGCAAGAGCAGCAAGTGCTCTTAATTATTGAGCCATCTCTCCAACCCTATTTTCCATTTCTTAATGGAATACTATTAAGTGCTTTGTATGATTATTCTCATTTAAGCTTTATTAACAACTCAATTAGGCAATTTTAATTCTCTTTATAGATAGAAACTGAGGCTCATCAAGGTAAGTAACTTCCTCAAACTCATACAGTTGGAACTGAAAAAGTTTGTACAATTTCTGAGCCTGATCTTTAAAAAAAAGCTAAGCTTATACATAATCTGTCTACATATCTAATGTTCAAATAATCTTAAAAATTAATAAACTATTAGACTATGGCCTATTTTAAAATAACTGCTATTGTTCCGGTACCTGATAATGAGATTGCATATTCATATTGCCTATGAGAAATGTTTCCTGTCTTTCTTTAGTCAGATAACATATATGGTTAGTCCAAATTACAATGCATGTTTCTTGTCAGTTTTTCTGAGTTTGCTTGGGCGGCTGTAGCAACAACATAGACAGTGAACTGGTATAATTCTCACAGTTCTAGAGACCAAACGTTTGATCAGAGTGACATGATTTGGTGAGTACTTTCAGATGATAGGTTATTTTGATGTTTCTTCTTCAAATGAAAGCAATTATCCCAACACATGACCCTAGTTAAACTTAATTCCAAAGACCTTGTCTCCTAATAACATCACATTTGTGGTTGTATTTCAGAATTTTGAGGGCACAATTAAGTTCATAACTGACACAAATCCCATTGTGAAGATCCTACTCTCATGATCTTATCTAAACCTAATCAACTTTCAAGAACCCCACCTTCTAACATCATCACAGTAAGGATAGGCTTTCAATACATTTGAGTCAGTCCTTAACACTGTGTAGTACTCAATTTGAATTAAGCCAGCCATTATGGAAAACTTCTGTTTTTCTATGTTCCTGGTTATGTGTTTAGAATTAGGCATAGTCTTTTCCCAAGTTAATAGGCTTCAGATCCAGAATTCCTTTGCCAGCTTTGTTCCTTTCCTTTCTCTAACTCATATTATCCGTCAAGCCTTAGCCATGCTTCAATTACCACTGATATTTCAGATCCTGTACCTAGCACCATATATATTCAAAGCCTTAACCCCCTCTGCCAGATAAGGTCTTTAAATAAAGCACTGTCCATATCACAACTTTACCCTGAAATCTTTGTTAATTCTCCATTAGTCACAGATACTCAGGTCATATCAAAGGCCTGAAGTGGAATTAATTTGCTTTCTAGTGTGCCCAACATGCATTTTCTTTTTTCACTGCTTTCTTCTCTGCCTTAAATGTGACTTCCAAGTACCTCACCTCACAAAGAAATGACCTCCTGTGTGGATTCATTTTCCCAGTAACTAAGTGTGTACCATTTATTATGTTGTTTGGTTGTATATGTTCCCTTATATATACTTCTGTCATTCTGTGGAGATTTCTGCTCCCCAAGGAAAAATTAGTAATTCTTTTTAATTTTTCTATGGTTATTGAACCCAGGGCCACTTACCTGCTAGGCAAACAGTGCTACTGAGCTATAGCGCCAACAATCCTCAATAATTGTATACATATATATATATATATATCCACATATATATATATAACTATTATTATAAGTTCCTCCATATGACCTACTTTTTGCTGGTGTTTACAAATATTTCTTCATTTATTGTTTTCTGCTCAGTGAGCCCTGAGTAAATAATAAAAAAGATGTTTTATTGCATTTGTTTGTTTGTTTGTGAGAGGGACACACACACACACACATGCCACCATATCTTTGTATGGAGATCAGAGGACTGTTTATGAGAATCAGTTCTGTCCTTCAGCCATGTGGGACCCAGGAATCAAGATTAGGTTATCAACTTGGCAGCAAGTGCATTTATATATTGAGCTATTTTACTTGCTAAATACACATGATTGATGGCCCTTAATTACTAAGTGTGCTTACAAAATTATGAAACAAAATATTGTATAAATACAAAGAAATATAGAATAAAGAAACAATGAGAGCATTAAAGTTTTTTCTATTCAAAGTTTGGTTTATACAAAAATATAGGCAGGTGATTAAAATGCAGAATTTAAGATCTCACCAAGATTTATGGAGTCAGGATCTACACTTTAATAACATACCCAAGTAACTCCTCTACACAGTAAACATTGGGTGGAATTAAAGTAGACAACTAAATCTATGACTATGAAATTTTCCTGTACTTTCTCCTTCTATGGGAGTGATTCTCAAAGGTCACCCGAGATTGTTTGAGCAGAAATTAAGTGTATGCTGTTTTACTCCCCTTAATTGCAACAGAAAATTGATTGAATCTGGTCTTTTGTAAGCGTGTGTGTGTGTGTGTGTGTGTGTTGTTTTGTACTTGTGTTATGTATGTATTAGTCACTTTTCTATTGATATAGTAAAACATCACTCCCAAGGCAACTTATAGAAGTTAAGTGTTTATTTGGACTTGTTTCCAGAGGAATAAGAATCTGTGATGACAGTCAGAGGCATGGCAGCACAGACAAAAAGCTAAGAGCTTATATTTTTATTACAAGCACAAAGCAGAGATAACTAACTGGAAATGTCATGAGGCTTTGAAACCAAAGATGTTATTTTTTCTAGCTAGGCCACATCTCCTAGACCTCCCAAAAACCATGCCACCAACTGGAAACCTAGTGTTCAAATGTCAAAGCCTGAGGAAGACACCCTTATTCAAACTACCTCAATGTGCATTCAGATTGAGATCCACCCAAATCTGTCTCCCACTTAATATCCCTCCTCCTGCCTACAAATCCCCTTCCCATATTCATGACTTTGTTGATTGCTTAGTTGGCTGGTTATTTGCTTGCTTTGCTAGTTTTAGAGAACTACTCTGTGACCATGGGTTTGGAACTGATATTTTGAGACAAGGGCTCATATAACCCAAGCTGGCCTTAAACTTTTGATCTTTCTACCTCCATCTCTCTTTATATTTGTTTTCGTGGCACCTAAATACCTCTTAGTCATTGTTAGACATGAGAACTACCTAAGGAATCTTCAAAATATAATTGTGCAATACCAATTTGTACCAAATGGTCTACAAACTGTATGGACAGTTTTTTAGTATAGGTAGGCTAGGGTTAAGAACCATTAAGTGATGTAGAATATTTATATAAATGATGTAGGTATGTATTTATATACTTTTGTTTCTTTTTTGATGTTTTTGAAACAGGATTTCTCTGTATAGTTCTTGCTGTTCTGGAACTCACTTTGTAGACTAGGCTGGCCTGGAACTCACAGAGATCCACCTGCCTCTGCCTCCCGAGTGCTGGGATTAAAGGCATGTGTCACCACCATCCAGCTGTATAATGTTCTTCTGTTTTGCCCTATTTGAAAAACCATGTTCTCCATAGAACCTTACTTTTGTCATTCAGGCCCCTAAGTCATTTTATCTTTTCTCTGTTTTCCTAGCAGTTCAGAGTTAACTTATTGTTTATCTTCATCAATTTTTGCACCTTTTCATAATAGTTTAACTGATTGATCTATAGTTCAAAAGACTTATTTTAAATTTTTTATAGAGTCAAACTGCACAACCACCTTCGTTTTTATACTTCTTCGGACTTAAAATCAACTATGTGGGCTGGGTATCCCTTGGCCCTGTTATTTCTGTCCTTAATACTCTATAGGCTTCTTTATAGGCAAACTTGGTAAATCTACTTTGTTCTTTTTGTTCTCTTCCTCATTTCTCTACTGGAGTTGACATTATCAATTACATTCTCCCTAAAACTCTCCTTCTTAGGCCAGTGAAATAGTTCATCAGCTAAAAGCACTTGCTATAGAAGGCTTACAACCTGAGTTCAGTCTCCAGAACCAACAATAAAAAGAGAGCACCAATACCAGAAACTTGCCCTCTGACCGTCACACATGTGCCATGCATGTGCATATATATATAAATACACAATAAAATTAAAAAAAAACATTATTTCTTGATTTCTGTGATGTCCACCAAATGCTGACATTTCCTCCTCCCTTGACAGTGCAGTATCTTCATTTTCTCCCTAATTAAACAGCTTTTTTTTTAAATTTTAAATAGCTTGTTTTACATGTCAATCCCAGTTCCCTCTCCCTCCCCTCCTCCCGCACTCCCCTTCCACCCTCCCTCCCACCCTATTGCCAAATCCTTCCACATAGGGGATATCTAGAGTCTATCATTTTACTCTTGGTAGGGTCAAGGCACTCCCCTAAGAGTCCAGGCTGAGAGAGCATCTCTCTTTGTGCTATAGGCACATGAAGACAGATTGTATACCAGGGATAGACACTGATCCACAGCTCAGAGCCCCATAGGTTGTCCAGGCCTTCTCACTGACACTCACATTTGGGGGGTCCAGATCAGTCCCATTCTGGCCTCCCCCCTGTCGGTCTGGGGTCCAAGAGCACTCCCCTGTTCAGATCAGCTGTCTCTGCTGGTTTTGCCAGCCCATTCTTTGCCAATTTGCTCATCATTCCTCTCTCTCTGTCACTGGGTTCCTTGGGTTCAGTTCAGTGCTTAGTTGTGTGTTTGCCTCTGCTTCCATCAGTCCCAGGATGAAGGCTCCCGGATGGTTATAGACATCAAGTTCATTATCAGGAATGGGCATTCGAGGTGGTCCTTCCACTATTGCTTAGCTTGCCAATTGATGTTATACCTTTAGATCACTCGAGGTCACTCTGGTGCCTGATCTGTCTTCGATCCTATGATTCCCTCTTCCCCCTATTCTACCCCCACCCCCTCAACTTCCTGTTCCCCCATGACCAACTCCCTTCCTCTTTACCCCCTCTATTCTTCCCAGGTCCCACTACCCCCCTCGCCCTGTTCCCCATCCATTCAGAGGATCTTGTCTCCATCCTCTTCTCTTGGGTACTATGCATATATGCATATCTTTTAGGTTCTTTCCTGTTTCCCAGACTCTCTATCTGTGGAAGTGCAGACTGGCACTATCCTGATCCATATCTAAAATCCATATATGAGTGAGTACATACCATGTTTGTCTTTTTGCGACTGGGTTACCTCACTCATGATGGTTTCTTCCAGTGCTATCCATTTCCCTGCGAATTTCAAGATTCCATTGTTTTTTTCTGCTGAGTAATACTCCATTGTGTAAATGTACCACATTTTCTCTATCCACTCTTCAGTTGAGGGGCATCTAGGTTGCTTCCAGGTTCTGGCTATTACCAACAATGCTGCTATGAACATACTTGAGCAGATGCCCTTGTTGTATGAACCTGCCTCATTTGGATAAATGCCTAAGAGTGGAATTGCTGGGTCTAGTGGTAGATTAATTCCCATTTTCCTGAGGAATCTCCATACTGATTTCCAAAGAGGCTGTATGAGTCGGCACTCCCACCAGCAGTGGAGGAGTGTTCCTCTCTCTCCACATCCTCTCCAGCATAAATTGTCTTCGGTGTTTTTGATTCTAGCCATTCTGACAGGAGTAAGATGGTATCTCAGAGTTGTTTTGATTTGCATTTCCCTGATGGCTAAGGATGTTGAGCACTTTCTTAAGTGTCTCTTGGCCATTTTAGCCTCCTCTACTGAGAATTCTCTATTTAGCTCTGTACCCCACCTTTCAAGTGGATCCTTTGGTGTTTTGGAGACTTGTTTCTTGAGTTCTTTGTAAATTTTGGAGATTAGCCCTCTGTCAGATGTAGGGTTAGTGAATATCTTTTCCCATTCTGTGGCCTGCCTTTTTGTCTTTTTGACTGTGTCCTTTGCCTTACAGAAGCTTTTTAGTTTCAGAAGGTCCCATTTGTTAATTGTCGATCTCAGTGCCTGTGCCACTGGTGTTATGTTTAGGAAGTGGTCTCCTGTACCAACTCGTTGAAGAGTATCTCCCACTTTCTCTTCTAAAAGTTTCAATGTGGCTGGATGTATGTTGAGATCTTTGATCCATTTGGACTTAAGTTTTGTACAAGGCGATAAACATGGATCTATCTGCAGTCTTCTGCATACCAGTACCCAGTTATGCCAGCACCATTTGTTGAAGATGCTTTCTTTTTTCCACTGTACAGTTTTAGCTTCTTTGTCAAAAATCAGGTGTTCATAGGTGTGTGGGTTAAAATTAGGGCTTTCGATTCGGTTCCATTGGTCTACCTGCCTATTTTTGTGCCAATACCAAGCTTAAACAGCTTTTTTTCTAACCAAAAGTCACTCTTGTGCGATCATTCAAGGCAGTTCATTCTTTGGGATGAATAGATGAAAGAGCGGAAACTTGTGACTTCTCTCATTTAGGATATTCACCTTTGTGATTAAGAAACTCAAAAATCAAGCAGGGTGTGGTGGTGCATGCTTGTAGTCCCAGGACTTAAGAAGGGGAGACAGGAGAATCGGAGTTAAAAGCCGTCTTCAATTTGTTAATTCTAACTATATATGGATTCAAACACATTTTTTAATTTTTTTCAGAGCATGGACAGAACATCAGGAATATGGATTAATCATTGATGGCTCCACGTTGTCACTCATACTAAATTCTAGTCAAGACTCTAGTGCAAACAACTATAAAAGCATTTTCCTACAAATCTGTATGAAATGTACTGCAGTACTCTGCTGCCGGATGGCACCATTACAAAAAGCCCAGGTAACTGGATATTAGTTAATTTTCTTTCCATTCTGGATCCTCTTTACACATCTCATTTCTCTCCCTGGCTTTTCCTTCTTTGTGAAGAAACTCTGCTGCAGTCTCTTCCAAATTATTTTAAACCTGTACTGTACCGTGTACCCTTAAACTTGCTGACCAGTTCTTTACCTTCTAGACTTCTCTAATGAGTACACTTAGTTCCTGCTGCCTCTGCCTGCTGTTCATTCCTCCTCATGGCATTATTAGCCCTGTGTATCCTGATCTTTCTTTTCTTACTACTCTGCTGGCTTGGTTACAAGTGAACCTAGCCCAATTCCTTAAGCAATATTCTTTCCTTGTTTCTTTCCTACAGTTGGCACTATCATTTACATTCTCTTCAAAATCTTCCTTGATTGCTGTGCTTGCTCAAAATGCTGACATTTTCCCCCTTTGGATTATCTTTTCATTTTCTTATCCTGTATTTTTAGATTTTTATCTTGTTTTTATGTGTGGGAATCTTTTGCCTACATGTATATCTCTGCACCACTTGGATTCCTGGTGTCTGCAGAGGCCAGACGAGAGCACCAGAACCCCTGGAACTGAAACTACAGACATCTGTGAACTTCCATGTTGGTACTGAGAATTGAATCTGAGTCCTCTGAAATAACAGCCAGTTCTCTTTACTACTGAGCTATCTCTCTGGGCCATTATCGTGTATTTTCTTAATAGTTTTCCTTTTCTATAGTAAAGTTTTCCTCTGATTTCTACTTTATGGACTGTTTCTCTCTGGAATAACTCTTCCATTTCTCTGCCTTCCATTGATAAAGCTCTAAGTCCTAACTTTTTCTTAAAATTATGTATCCTGTTTCTAGCTTTGTGCTACACATCTCCATTTGGATTCCCCACTACCACATTAAATTCTAGTGTCTTAAGAGAGATGTTAAAATTTTCATGAGCAGTTTTTCTTCCCTTGTCTTACTTTATTCCTGTTACTAGGGCCATTTTTCTCTGTTCCCTAAGTCTCACATTATAGTCTGTTTGTTCTACCTATTTTTGTCATAGCTCTCATTTTCATGAAACCTTTGATGTTACTCATTTTTTTTCTCCTGCCCAGAACATGGGGTATCTTGTGGTTCAGGCCTCAGAATATTTTATCTTTGTCACTTTTTCTTGACTATTACATCTCATCTCTTGTGTCTATATAGGTGATATTTAAGGCATTACCTTCTAGTCCAAATCTTTATTATTCTATTGTAAACCTATCTTCTTTGGTTATCCTTATTGTCCCAACTCTGCCTTCTCTTCAGTGTAACCATAATTTTTCTTGCTCCTATTATTTCTATAGCCAAGTTTATTATAGTTTCAACTTTCTAAACCCAAAACCTTTGTTTATTGACTGCCCTCAATGATTTACTATTCTTCTATATGGCTTTAGCTGTCAAAGTACTTCCTAATACATTTTACTAGTTTTTTTTACTAATTGTTTCTTTCTTCTTCTCTCCAGAGCTAGACATTGAGTAGCTCACTAAACCTTATTTGTGACCTCCTAGCTTCCTTTTATTTCCTCTTTGTTTTGTTTTCTACCAGCGCCTTCTGTACTCTGCTACTTGTACTAAATATCCTTCCATGTTGATCTGAATCTATGATCCATATGTGAAAATTCACTGATCTAGTCATACCAACCTACTTTCTCAGTGTTTACTATTCTTACTTCCCTTGTGTGCCTTTGGATTCCATTTCTTTTCTCTGGGAATACCCTCTCTTTCCATAAACACACAAATTTTACTAGTATTTCATTATTTAAGTCATGATTTCTTCTATAAAATAATGCCTAATTGGCAAATACTTTCCTCTTTGATAACATAAGCTTTCCTACATGGAATTTCTTTTTACATTTATTAAATCTGTTTGTTTATCGTGAGGTACATGTACCTTGGTACACGTGAAGATAAGAAAGCAACTTGCAGAAGTTTTTTTTTTTTTTTGGTTTTTCGAGACAGGGTTTCTCTGTGGCTTTGGAGGCTGTCCTGGAACTAGCTCTTGTAGACCAGGCTGGCCTCGAACTCACAGAGATCCGCCTGCCTCTGCCTCCCAAGTGCTGGGATTAAAGGCATGCGCCACCAATGCCCGGCTCAGAAGTCTGTTCTTACCCTTCTCCATGTGGGTATTATGAATCAAAGTCGAGTCTTCAGACTTGGTAACAGTTGTCCTTACCCACTGAGCCATTACACCAGCCTTTATATGGATAATTGGATAATTTCATGTATACCTGTATTATTTATCTGGTTATCTAATATACTTGTATTTAAAGCTAATCTCTATTTCATTTACATACTTCCCAATGACCACACCTCTTGTTTTTTGATATTAGTATATTGTTTTGAATGGTATATTACATAAATTTAAACTTGATGAAAAAGCTGTTTTTAGCTAAATTACCTCTTTTTCTTGAAAGCTACCTACAGTTTGGAGAAAAACTCCTAATATGGGTAACTTGAAGAGATTAGGGGAAAAACCTACATGTTTACCTTACCAAATCATTCATGACTTTATTATCAGTAACAACAAATCCTTTTATTTTTTTCTTTCAACCTAACCTATATTTTTCTTACAAAGGTTGTCACCTTGGTAATTATGTTGCCTTCCAGGCTGCAATTTTTAATCCTTCAGGTACAAATTATTGCTGCACATAGTATATGAAGTACAAATTAGTTAACAGTTATTATTGCCCATCAAAACTTAATTGAGTTTGGATTCTTTAGCTTTGGACTTAGTTCTTTCACTTGTATAAATAAGAGATTATTTCTGATAATCTTTTGTAAAGTTCTTAATAGGAACCAAATTAAGAAGAGCAATCAGGCAAAAGCTAACATTTTACTTCATTTTTGTGTTGAATGAAATCGTACATGTGGGATTATTTTTAATGATTTTAACACAACTAGAAACATACTGAGTATTATTTAAAGAAACACTGCTGTGCCTTACTTGCATATGTTATTTGTAATCACTTCATTTGTATTGAAAATGAATTTTATTCATGCTAACCAGCTAGAGAAACCAGGGGGACAAACTTTGAAAATTAATTTTTAGCAGTTAAAACATATATGTCATGTTAAGGCTACTATATCCCAAGGAGTCTTGATAGTAGATGGCAAACAATAAATTTCTGAAACAGAATGCAAAGACAGATTTGACCCAAATGTTTTCCCCAAGTGACTGTCCCAGGAGGTTTGGGAGACCCCTAAAGCAGAAGTCATTTAACAACACCATAGGTGATCATTTTTTATTCATTATTTACCCTGAACTCAGCATTGAACCACACTGCCTTGTTTTCACATCTGGATAAGATACTATTTGGAAAATGGTGAAATTAGTAGCATTTTCTGCATAAGATTAACATAAGTTCCATAATTACCATTGGGGTATTCTTTTTTTAAAAAAAGATTTATATATTTATTATGTGTACAGTGTTCCTCCTGCATGTATCTCTGCAGGTCAGAAGAGGGCACCAGATCTCATTATAGATGGTTATGAGTTACCATGTGGGTGCTGGGAATTGAACTCAGGACCTCTGGAAGAGCATCCAGTGCCCTTAACCTCTGAGTCAATTCTCTAGCCCGCCCCACATTGGGGTATTCTTAAGGGAGCTAGATTGTATTTAGAAAGAAGGGGTTGAGAGATAACCAAAGTATTGTTCTGATTTTTCCATTCTTACTCTGGTGGCTTAGTACATTTTAACTGAACTCCAATTTATGACCTCCACTCTCACACATTCAACAATATAATATAAAGAGATCATGTGAAAAGATGGTAAGAGAAGGAACATGCCAGCATTTAGTAAGCATGGCAGGAAAGGTTTTAAGCATTTATGCATATACAAGCCTAGAAACAAATGGGATGCTAGAGTTGCATTTTAAATGGCTATGTTACTTTGTACTTGACAACTTAAGATACAAATATACACAAAGTACTTTTCTGCCTGTAAAACCTCCAGTTACACTTGTAAATGATGATAAATCCCAGTGAGTTATTACACATTCTGCTTTTGACTTTTCTGTCTCTTTTGTATTTTATGTTTAGATTGTCAGAATGGTGAAAAACTTGAAAGGCAGCCCCATAACACTGTCAATAGGTGATGGTGCCAATGATGTCAGTATGATTTTGGAATCCCATGTGGGAATAGGTAAGAAGCATTTAATATGATGGCCTCTATAAGGTATCATCAGCATTACTTCCTAAGTTGAATCAATCTTACTCTAAATTATTTTGGTTGTTCATCTGGAATTTGAATTTGTAAATACTTGTTAATTTAATGAATGATTTCTTCTAATATTGACCATTCCAGGGTCTTACCCACAGTATTTGGAGGGTATTTATATTTGCTAAACAAAGTGGATTTTTTTCTTTTTCTTTTTTTTTTAATTCGTTTGTTTGGACACAGGGTTTCTTTCTCTGTGTAGCCCTGGCTATCTTGGAACTCACTCTGTAGACCAGGCTGGCCTCAAACGCATAGAGATCCACCTGCTTCTACCTCCAGAATGTTGGAATTAATGGCCTGCACCACCACCACCACCAGACTACAAAATGGATTTTTCAAACCTTCTTGTGTCACAATTAATTAAGTAGCTCTTATTTTGACAGCATACATGATACAATATTAAGTTTTTATACCTCTGGCCAGGTTGTCTACTCTATTACTGTTCTCTCTGTCTTTTGAGGTTGTTAACTGTTAGAGGTTAAGAAAGTATCATTGGAGGCTGGAGCGATGGTTCAGAGGTTAAGAGCACTGGCTGCTCTTCCCGAGGTCCTGAGTTCAATTCCCAGCAACCACATGGTGGCTCACAGCCATCTATAATGAGATTTGGTATAAACATGCCAGAACACTGTATACATAATAAATAAATCCTAAAAAAAGAAATTATCATTGACTGGCTCATTTTTCACACAGTGGTTTTTATGGGTTCAATGGGCTATGGTGTTGAAGTCTTATGTTGACATACACCAACAGTTTTTCTAGCACCTACACAAAGTTTTTCACACATCTGATTGCTATTAAGCACCCAGCCTAACATCACAGCAACTTTGGGCAAAGGATTGGGAACACATACAGAATTAATATCTTGGAAATTATTAAAGTGAAATTTAGATTCTCAAATTCCTTCAACCATTCAGAAGTAGAATGATTTACTATGGAATTCTAAGCTTTGCTCATTGATTATCCAATGTGGAAATGGGTCCATGGCTCATAAAATCCATGAGTAGCTATTCAGTTTCATACAGTGAAAGGATTTCACTGTCTACTCATTGATTTCCTTGACCACAAAACCCAGACCTCTGAGTTGCCTTAATATAACATTTAGTTTAGTGTTATACACAATTAAGCACATACTGAATGCCTTAAATAATTTTCAAGTGTATTTTCCCCTTCAGATAATTTTTGCTTTGTAATGTTTGGAATAATGGTTCTACTTCATTGTTTCATATTGTACTAACGAACAGCTAACCATCAACTAAACATACTTTTATTTGGTGAGTCTCAGTATCACTGATAAAGACTTTTTTATTTTAAATGAAGTAAATCTAAGCTATACACTTGATTTGTAACATTTAAATAGCTTAAAAATATAAAAATAGATGAGGTATTTGCTCATTCTATAAAGTTATAACCATACAGACATATTCTCTCTTTAGGTATTAAAGGAAAAGAAGGTCGCCAAGCAGCCAGGAATAGTGATTATTCTGTTCCAAAATTTAAACATTTAAAGAAATTACTATTGGCTCATGGTCATCTGTATTATGTGAGAATAGCACATCTTGTACAATATTTCTTCTATAAGGTATGTGACCAAATGTTTATAATTTAGCTGTTTTGAAGTGCCTACATTTGAATCAATTTGATTTTGGTTTTGGTTTTCAAGACAGGGTTTCTATGTGTAACAGTCTGACTGTCCTTGAACTCACTATGTAGACCAGCTGGCCTCAAACTCACAGAGATCTGCCCGCCTCTGCCTCCCAAGTGCTGGGAGTAAAAGAATCAAACTTGTTATGTAACTGGGGCTAACACACACTCCTCCTGCCTCAGCCTCCAAGGTGTTGGAATTACAGATGTGTACCACAGTGCTGAGCTCTGTGGTTTAGTTTCTGTGAATCAAAATCAAGACACTTATTGGAAATATTAAAAATTTGAGATTAATTTTGAATTCAACTTTATTAAAGTGTAAGTTAAATATAATGATGTTCTATCCATTAAGAGTGTATAGATACAGGCCAAAAAGATGTTTTATTTAGCTAAGGGTTTATGGATGTTTCTTATCCTTTCAAAGAAACAAATGCTTGTTTCATTTGTTCTACTTTTTATTTATGTGTGAATAATTTCATTTCATTTTTTTCCTATTATTTTTGACATTGTAATGTGATTACATCATTTCTCCCTTTCCTTCCTCCAAACCCTCTTATATACCCCTCCTTGCTCTCTTTCAAATTCATGGCCCCTGTTTTCATTAATTGCTATTATATTACATGCATATATTTCATTAATTGCTGCTATGTTCATATATGTATATATTTTTCCTGAATATAACTTGCTCAGTCTCAATAATGTTGGTTATATTTATGTTTTCAGGACTGACTGTTTGATATTAGATAACCAATTGGTGTGTTCATCTGAGGGGAACACTATTTCTCCCGCTCTTGGCATTCCTTAGTTGCCTGTAGTCCCTTGTGTAGGATTGATGCTTCATGGTCTTTTCTCCATCCACTTTGGCATGTCTAATGTTGTTGTCCTTGTTTAGGTGGTCATGTAGGTGAGATTCTATGTGTGTAGCTTCTGATATTAGTAGGAGACGTACTCTCATATTGAATTCCCTGATCCTCTGGCTCTTACAATTTTTCCCCTTCTTTCTAGGGTTCCCTGTGCCTTAGGTATGGGACTTGTTTTATATATGTATCTATTGGGACTGATCTCCACAACTTTGCATCAGATTGTTTGTAGTTTTCTGTAATGTTATCTCTCCATTTCTAAAGGAAGTTTCTTTGATGAGAAGTGAGGACTACACTTCATCAGTGGTATAAGGGCAAATGTTTAGAATGTAGTTAGAATGCTGGTTTAGTAAAGTGGCAACTGTATGGTCTCCTCCAAGACCCATGACTTCCCTAGCCCTGGGTAGTTAGCTAGGTTTTCAGTACCAGGCATCATTTGCCTCTTGTTGAGTGGGTCTTAAGGCCAGTTAGAAAGCTGTTGGTTACTACCAAGGTGTGTGGGCCACTACTGTACCCTTAGGGTTCTGAATATAGTTCATAGGACTCATAGCTGGAAGCCATGTGATAATTGTCTTTTTGGGTTCCATCCATTTACCTGAAAAAATAGTGATTTCATTTTTCTTTACATCTGAATACTATTCCATAGTGCATATGTACTCACATTTTCATTTTTCATTCATCGATTGAAGGGCATTTAGGTTAGGTTGTTTCTATTTCCTAGCTATTTTGAATAGAGCAGCAATAAATAAACATGGCTAAGTACCTGTGGACTAGTCTTTCACATCCTTTGGATATATGCCAAGGAATGGTATATGGGGTCATGTAGTAGTTTTATGTTTAGGTCTTTGCGATTTCTCTACACTGACTTCATAGTGGCTTCATCTGCTAGTAATGCCACCAACATTAAATAAGTGTTATTAAAAATATGGAACACTATAAATTTGCATATCATCCTTGTGCAGGGGCCATCCTAATTTCTCTGTATCCTTCCAATTTTAGTGTATTTGCTGCTGAAGTGAGCACTGTTACTTTTTGAGACATTTTCTCAGTATATAGCCCTAGCTAGCCTGAAACTCCCTGTGCAGACCAGACTGGCCTCAGACTCACAGAGATCCTCTTGCCTCCCATGTGCTGCGATTAAAAGTGTAAAAGTGTGTGCTACTGCACCTGACCATTTCAGAAATTTCTAACTTTAAATTTTCTTTTGAGTATGTCTTTGGAATTCAGATTATACTTGGTTTTCCAAGTGCCTACAGTGCATTCTGAGTTATTTTAAAGCTCTGATTTTCCCCTTTGGCAAGGTCTCATGTATCTCAATCTGGGATTGAACTAACTGTATAGCTAAGGATGACCTTGAACTTGTGATCCTTTGCTCTCTAATTCCCAGGTACTGTGATTACAGGTGTATGTATTCGTGCTGAGTTTATGTGCTATTGGTAACTAAACATAGGGCTTTACACATGCTGAGCATGTACACTACCAAATGAACTAAATCCCCAGCCCCATCTGATGTTTGCAATGTAGATTCTTAGAGGTATACATTTCACTCTCAGGACTACTTAGCCTCCAAGTTTTGGTATGTTATATTGTCATCCACTTCTCTGAGTTTTTTTCTTGATTGATATTCAGTGATCCATTCATCATTTCACAGAGTATTTTTTCCTTTTTATTTTTGTTTTTCGTTTGTTTGTTGGTTTTGATTTTTGAGACAGAGTCACACTATGTGGTTCTAGGTGGCCTGGAACTTACTATCTAGCTCTGACTGGCTTGAGACTCAGAGATTGGCCTTCTTCTGACTTTCTGTCTCCCCAGTTGCTGGTATTAAAGGTGTGTTCTGCCATACCTGGCTTGGAGAGTGTTTTTTAATGTCTGTGATTTTGTATATGTTCTATAGTTTCTTTTGCTATTGGTTTCTAGTTGTAATCTATTTTTGTCAAGAAATTTTTAAAATTTTCCTACATGTATTAAGGCTTACCTTGAACTAGGTGGTGGTATGTATGCCTTTAATCCCAGCACTTGGAAGACAGAGGCAAGCAGATCTCTGTGAGTTCAATGCCAGCCTGACCTACAAAATGAGTTCCAGGACAGCTAGCGCTAAAACCCTGTCTTGGGGAGGGGGGGCATACTTTGTGTCCTATTGTTTCTCTATGTTCTGTTTTAGAGAAAAGTCCATGGGCTACTGAGAAGACTACATTCTGCTGTGTTCAGATAAAATTTCCATAGAAAACTGTTAAATTCATTTGATCTGTGATGTGATGTCATTTAACACAGACATTCTTCACCCCGCAACACACACCTTTTTAAATAAGGATATTTATTTGTTTGTGAGTAGGGTATTAAAATCTGTTTTTGTTGCCTTTTTACCCCTAACTCTATTTGCTTGGAATACCTTTTTCCGTCCTTAAACCCTAAGATTGTATCTGTCTTGGATGCTGAGATGTATTCCTTGGAGGCAACAAATGGTTAGATCCCCTTTTTTAGTCAATCTTCCCATCTGTCTGTTGGTTGGAAAATAGGACATTAATATTGTTATTATTGAAATATGTTAATTCCTGTTATTTCTATTCCTGGTTTCCTTAACTACTGCTTTTCTGTAGCCTTGTGGCCCTGTTTTATCTTTCTCTTCAAGCCAAAGGATTCCTTCATGTGTCTTCTGTGTAGGTGGTTAAGTAGTTATGACAGTTTTATTGGAAGCAATAGTCTTGGTTGATTGTTATTGTCTTTCAGGGATTGAAATGCATCATTCTAGAAGATCACCAGACCTTTAAAGTTTTTACCTTGTATTATTCAAATGAACCTGCTTTTATAGGTGACTTTATGTTCCTTCTTGCAGTTGTGTGCTTGTGTACACACTCATACACAAGTGCTTCTTTCCCTTTACCATGTGGGTATCGAACTCAGGTTGCCAGACTTGGCAGCAGATGCCCTTACTCACTGATCTCTCAGTCTTCATATTAATCTTTGTCATTGTCCTGTGTTTCAGTTCTTCTACTGTGTCTTTAAGCCATGATAGTTTGTCCTCCCTTTCATCCACTCTATTGGTAAGACTTTTTAAGGAGCTTTTAATTCGACTTATTGAATGTTTTATTTCCAGTATTTCAATTTGTTCTTTTACTTTAGCATTTCTAACTTGTTGGATTCTATTTTCATATATACTCTGTTTACTTATTTCATTTAGCTGTTTGTGTATCTTGAGTATTCTGCATTGTAACCTTGTCTGTATTCACACTGAGCCTGACCAGTTTTCTACCTTGCTGGATACTAAGAGGTTTTGATGCAATGTTTCCTCACCATAGTGTAGAGTTATTCTTTATTCTGCTGGCCATGGTCAGCCTATGGTTCTGTAATACTTACTCACAGTTTGCAGGGGTGCAGATCATGTGTTGTTTGGAGCCTGCCAAGCCATCAAGTAACTTGGCAGGGATCGTTTAAACTGATGTTCTACAACTTTCCAGTTTATTGCCAAGGAAAAGGTTTGCTTTTTTCCCCCCAGAAACTCTTTTCTTGGCAGCCACCATGCATAACTTTTGTCTCCTTCCATCTTTCTTTTCTATTATAAATGTCTTTTACTGGGAGTATTGTGCCAGTTTTTAAGGCATTCTATCTTAAGTTTCAGTGATGACTCTAACTGATGGAAAGAGTTCCCCAGACTATCCTATAGCTTCAGGTCAGACTGTATTTTTTTTCTGTTCTGATCTCCAAGGTTTTCTATTTTACTTTGAACTAAACTAGGTATTTTGTGGCCATCGCCCATCTTTTCTGATAGCTGTTAACTAGCTTTCCCCAGATTATTCCCTAGATAATCTATCAGATCAAGCCTACATGATGTTCACCATCTTGTCTGTCATCTCCTGTTTCACTTATTCATTCATTCTGTCATATATGGCACATAAAGTAAGTGGTCCCTCTTGCTATATATGGCACCAGATGCCAAGGCTCCTAATGTTCATTTGTTAAGTAAAAAATTAAAAAATGAATCAGGCACAGATGCATACCTTTAATCCCAGTACTCAGGAGGCAGAGACAGGCAGTGTGAGTTTGAAGCCAGCCTGGTGTCTATGAGTTTGTGGATAGCCAGAGTTACATAAGATGACCTTGTCTCCAAAAATAACAAATAAAAATAAAATAAAGACAAGAAAGGAACATGTTTATAGAAACACATGTATGTGTGTAGAAGGGAGAGTACATACAATATATAGAGAATATACATACATACATACATACATACATACATACATACATACATACATACAATATCACTGATCCTAGGTTGCCCGGTTTTCTAAAATCCCTGCCTTGCCAGCCTGTATTAATTGGAGCCAAACATTGAAGAAGGAAAAGTATAATTATTATGATGTTAATTGAACCCAATGTGTATAAAATGAATTGTTTGTTAAAAGAACAAAACAAACCTTGTTGACTAGTAGTCAAAAATTGTTACGACCCCATTCACCTCAAAGGATACCACAGATTATTTATGTAGATGATACCTTCTGTGTTCATTATTAACTACATTACTGACTCAACGCTACTCAATATATACAGCTGTCCTTTGTCCAGAAGAGATTTCTAATCTTTAACAGTCTTTGGCTTACCATTTTTAAAGGCATTCCCTCTTCTTTTTTTAGATATACTTTTAATAATATGGTGAGGGTATGTGCACATGATTGGAGATGCCCATGGCATCAGCTGCCCCTGGAGCTGGAGTTAAGTGCATTGTAAGATGTCCATGTGGATGATAGGAACACAATTCCATCATCTCTGCTGTACACTCAACTGCTGAGCCATCTTTTCAGCCTTTCCATCCCCCACCTTTTTTGTCATTTCATTTTCAAATTGTTTCCCCATTAATTAATTACAAGTCTGTTTCTTCATTCAGTCCTCACATAATACAACCAGGTTATTTTAGAATATACTACTTTCCAATTTATCTCTTAAGATTTTACTCTTTGTTATCTGATCAGTAATCTTTCTTTTAAGGTAATACCTCAGTCTGATGCTATCTTACTATGGGTTTAGGTGTGTTTTGGGGTGGGTTTTTTTTTTGCTGTTTTAAATGTGTATGTGTGTTTGAAACAGGGGCTCACTTTGTAGATCAGACAGGCCTTGAACTTCCCATTCTTCTGAGTCAGCCTCATGAGTACTGTGAGATTACAGCTGTGCACTCTTATGCCTGGCTTTACCACATGTTTAAAATGAATACTAATTTGACTTGGTTCTTACTATCCCATCCATCCTTAAGACTTAATTCAAGTTTTGAACACTTTTTTCCTTTCTCTTCTTTTGTTTTTTTCTAAGCAAGATTTCTCTGTATAGCCCTGGCCCTCCTGAACTGGGCTGGCCTTGAACTCAGATCCTTCTTTCTCTGCTTCCGCCAGTGCTGGAATTAAAGCCTTGTGCCATCACCACATTCAACTTCTGAATTTTTGTGGGGGAAGAGAGTAACATGGGAGTCTCTGTCTGTAGCCCTGTCTGCCCTAAAACTCATTATAGACCAGGCTAGCCTCAAACTCAGATATCCACCTGCCTCTGCCTATTGAGTTCTGATGTTAAAGGCATACACCACCACACCTGGTTCAAGTTCTGAATTCTTCATTCAGTTAATCAAAAAGTAATTCACCATAGATTGAGGCAGCTAAACACAAAAAAATATCCTTTTTATTATGGAACTTACATTCTAGTGAGGAAGGCAGACACCCTCTCACAACCTCTAGTCTTAGAAGTAGTGAACCGTTCTCACTGAACTCTGCTTCCTCTAGCCTCAGAAAATTTCCCTGTAGAGCATAACTCTAAAAGTTGAGCTATTTCTGTGTCAAAACTAATAAATACAAATGAATGCTGGTCTTCTAGGATGATTGTGAGGACTCTGATATTTTTTGCTACATTTTATTGTTATGCTTCTGCCCCTATTTATTTTATTTGTATTTATTTAATGGGGGGTGCATGTGTGCTACAGTGTATATGTGGAGGTCAGAGGATAACTTTTGGAAGAGAAGCTTGTTCCTTTTTGGTTTTACGAGACAAGGTTTCTCTGTATTGTTTTGGAGGCTGTCGGTCAAGCCTGGCCTCGAACTCACAGAGATCCGCCTGCCTCTGCCTCCCTAGTGCTGGGATTAAAGGCGTGCGCCACCCCCGCCCGGCGAGAAGCTTGTTCCTTTGTGTGTAAGAGATGGGGCCTCACTGTATAGCCCTGGCTGGCCTGAAACTCTCTTTGTAGACCAGGCTGGCTCACAAAGATCTGCCTGCTTCTGCCTCCCAAGTGCTGAGATCAAAGGCCTGTGGCACTACATCTGTCTGCTTATTTTGATATTTACCAGTGATGCCATCCTTTTTCTCATGAGACAGTAATAAAGGCAAGTATCAGTTAATAACTGTTGGTGTCAACAAACTATAATAATATTCTGAGTATGTATTACTACTAATCAACTTTAAAATGTACTTTGGAGGCCAGAAACTTAGGGGCTAACAGTGCGTTTTGTTGCAGAGGACTGGAGTTAGATTCCAAGACCCTCTTCTGGTCTTCACATGCACACACACAGTTGAAAATAAAATATTTAAATTAAATCAAATACATACTTTGGCTGTTATATTAGTCTATAGTGATTCCATAAATCCAGTTGGTATTTAAGGGAAAATATGTGATGTGTTCTTGTCAGATGAATACATTTTTTCCTGTAACAAGAATATAGAAAGCCAGGCATGGTAACTCACATTTGTAATACCAGAACATGGAGGCTGAAGCAGAAGGAAAACTATGAGTCTGAGACCAGATAGGAGTACATAGAAAGTTCCAGACTATCTTGGACTGTAGTGTGAGACCCTGTCTTCAAAAGGAAAAAAAGAAGAAATTCGGAAATAGCAAGAGGTTCTCATAATCAAGAGCCTCTTTTGCTTAGATAGGGGCAAAAGTTAATTTTAGTATATATTAATCAGTAGATTTCAGTTAATCATTTGTAAGTACTTTACATCTTTGCAACAGAGAATTGTTGCATTCTAACATTAGAAGGATTTAGGAATGACTTTTTACAGTGTCCTGTTTTAGTTTTTAAAGTTCATTAAGTGAAAATACTAATCTTGATCTTAATATTTTCCAGAATCTTTGTTTCATTTTGCCACAGTTTTTGTACCAATTCTTCTGTGGATTCTCACAACAGGTATGTGCCTTTCTTAGAGAAGTGTAGCAGACACAAGAACTCTAATGATGACTGAGTCAGAAATAAGCAATTTAATGATGTTAACAAGCTAGATAACCACATTGTCACAGGTATCTGTGACTGAATTTCCAAATTTTAAAAATACTTTGAAAAAGCTTTATTTCTCTTGATTCTAAATGCTAGGAAGCTATATTTTTCTGAAGATATTTGAATGATCCTAACAAATGTCTTGTGATTTTAAAACTTCAAAGATAGTGATAGGGAAGAGGCAGACAAATATGTGATGTAGGATACTGTATCAGTGCTCTGAAGAAAAAAAATGAAGTGTAATAAAAATATAAATTAATAATAAAAGGATACACTGTGACAAAATGAGAGGTTACTATTTTAATAGAGCTATCTGGAACAATCTCTCTAATTCTAAAGTCAACATTGGAACAGAGACCTGAGTACCCTAGGGAAAAGCTAAGCAGACTTCTTTAAAATGCTACAGATAAAGGAATGGTCTCTGAGGAGGTAGCATGAAGTGCAAATCTTTGCTTTTTACTTTGGACTTGTGTTAGTGCTGGTGGCAGCATGCTTTATCTTTTTTTAAACTACATATGGACTGTCTTTTTCAATCCATAGCCTCATTAGCTACTCTTTGGAATTTAGAGAGTGGGCTATGAAAATGTAGAAATGGACTCACACTACTTAAAACCTCTTTTTCCTTAGTAAAGCTAGGATATTACTTGTCTGTTTTTCCATGAAAATATGGTACATTTGTTACAGGTTTAGCAAGATGACAGTATTATCAACTAAACCTTGTTTGTAAGACATTCTGTCACAACCTCTAATTATGCATCCAAGAATTATAATTAACTCTCATGTAACCTTAAAGTTCCATCCTGAAGTGAAAGTAGATTGATGCGTCTTTTGTTTGAAGTAAATTCAAGAATAAATTACACACTAGTCAATTTGGGAGTTGCTCTTTTAATTTACTCATTAGTGAAAATGTGTAGTTTCCAAAGCAAATTTAGTATTGTATGTCTGGACAAATACTTTCATTTGGAAATTAGAAGAAGTATAGTACAATTTCATGCTTTTTTTATTTCAGGGAAATATTTTTGGCTCTTCTTAAATCTTTGTTCATAGAAACTGTATGAAAATTGTCTCCATATTTTATGCAGAACCATCCTTTTAACTTCATTGGGGATGTTGAATTACTCTATCTCATGCTTTTTCTCTGTTAAAACCAAAGAATGCGGTCCCCTCTTGGGTCTACCAGCTCCCTGTACACCCTAACTCTTGTCTTGAATTTTAACTTCTTGATGAATGAGTATGAATCATGTTTGTCCTCAGTGCTTGGTGCTTACTATGTTCTCTGTTAATGTTTTGAAGCCCACTAGTGACTAAAGTTTTTTAAAAAGTTCTGTTGAAGTTGTTTCCAGCCTTTCAAATCACTTTTCATTGTAATTGTGTATTTACTTCACTGGTTGAAAATATGTAGTTGTATTGATTAGTGTCACATTTAAATGAATTTTACTAGTCAGAGGACATTTATGTGTGTGGGTGTAGGTGTCTGTGTGTGTAAGATGGATGCCTTTAATCAGACAACACAAATGGTTATATGATGACACCTAGTAGTGTCTAGATATACTGAACTCAATACCGTCACCTGAATGAAAATCATAAAAAACTTACAAATTTTTTTCAATAGAAGTTTTGTGGGCTAGAGAGATGGCATAGTGTTAGATAACTAGATGTTAGATAGCACAGGTTGGATAGCTCACATCTATCTGTAACTCTGGCTCTATGGGGATCTTACACCCTCTATGACCTCCTTGGATACATGCATTCACATAAACTTACCCATACCACAGACATACATATACATAAAGTATTAACCAGAAAAGATCTGCAATATAGGTTGGCTGCTCCCTATAGTTTAGTTTCTGTAAGGACTCCTGACTTGCACTTATTTGGTCTTTTCTAAAATCAATACTAAATATCTACATTTTTAGCAACTAAGAAACTCTTACATAAAGTTAATTGTTAATGTTTATTAGAAATCAGACACAGTGTACAAATATTGTTAAGATCCTGTTAAAGAATCAGGTTTGTTTATAATGACATGCAGAATATTTTAGTATTTTTATCTTCACCAGGTAGGGTGATCTTACTTACAAAGGGCCCTTTGCTGTCCCAAAAAACATAAAAAAAAACTACTTAGCTACATGTAGTTAGAGGGTTCTCATCCCACCTGCCAGTTCACAAATAACCACTCTAAGGCTTAACATTAATTAAAATTGTTTGACCTATGGCTCAGGCTTCCTACTGGCTAACTCTACATATTAATTAACCCATTTCTAATATTCTATATTATGGCTCGTGACTTATTACCTCACATCTTGTTTCCCCAGTGACTACATGGTGTCTCCCAGACTCCGTTTTCTTTCTCTCCATAACTTTTTTTGGACTTCCTGTCTACCTATATTCTCCCTGGCTATTGGCCAATGCAGCTTTATTCATCAACCAATAAAAGCAACACATAATCATAGCATACAGAAGGACATCCCACATTGTTTCCTCTTTTCTGTCTAATTAAAATGGAAGGTTTTAAATTTAACATAGTAACATCATATATAACAAAACAGTTATCAAGTAAGAATTAGAGTTACAATATTTAGTCTATCTGCATTTGACAAAGTTAAAGAAAATATTCTATCATCTATTATCTTTATGAGTCTATGCTTTTGTAGGTTCTCGCTTCAGCTACAGGTTTTTACAAATACAGAATTACATCATAGATGAATGACTGCAATACATTGTTTTCCTGTTTGTCTTTTCAGCCACTCTATGATGCTGCTTACCTTACAATGTACAATATTTGTTTCACATCCCTGCCCATCCTGGCCTACAGTCTACTGGAACAGCACATCAACATTGATACTCTGACCTCAGACCCTCGATTGTATATGTAAGTTGAAAATATCATTCAGGTAATTTCCTACTCTATAATCCAGGTTTGTCTGGAACTGAACTATGTAGCCCATGCTAGAATTTGTGAAATCCTCTTATGTCAGTTCTAGTATTATTGGTATAAGTCACCATGCTGGGTTTTAAGTAGTGGGTTTTATTTAATCTACAGATAAGAAGGACCTGGAATTGATCGCTTGGTCCATTAAGTGACTGTTGTGAATTTTCAGCTAAAACAGATCATTCAACAGGAGAGTGGTATACTTTCCTAGCTACCAGTTCTGTACTTAAATAGATATACTTGTGCTGCATCTATCGGTCATAAATTATTGTACAGTCTTTCATAAAGATGAAAAATAAAGGTGATGACATAAGTATGGCCCAGCCTAAAGTGTCCTTACCTCCCACAAAAGAAAACAAAACAAAGTCAGCAAGCAAACAAACAAAAGCAAGAACAAAAAAAAGGAAAGGGAAAACCCATTAAACAAAAACAGAACAAAAAAACACACTAAAAACAGTAAAATCTCTGCTACTCCTTCTCTCTGCCTCTCCATCACCTGTTCATTCATCCTGATGGCATTAGAGGCTTCAGTGTGTCATATAGCATACCCTTTTGTCCCATCAGCTTGACTGGCAGCTGTCCATTGCAATGAGTTACTGATTTGGTCCAAGGCCTCTGGTTTTTGGTACACCATCCTCACTGGATCTTCACCAGAGCTCTTCTGGGGTATCCTGTGTCTTGGAGATTTTATGGGTATCGTTCCACAGGACCAGTTCCTTCACAAGCTCCAGCAGGACCTAGATGGGGTAGTAGTAGGGTGCTTCCTCTCATTCTTCAACAGTATTTTGGAAACCATCATTCACTTTCTCATTATCCCCCTTACCTTCTTTGTTTCTAGCAACCTCTATGCAACTCTAGTTATATGTGGTCAACTCTTTACCTTCCATAAATGAGTGAGAACATATAGTATTTGTATTTTATGCATTACTAGCTTTGAAAGATTCTCAATAATTAAGTGTGGAGTTTGGGAACCATTATGTTATACCTTTCTGAGAATTATTTGCAGATGAGAATAATTATACCTAATTTTTGCACTCTCTGCCCCCATCTGTGTGTATATACTGACTTAAATTATATATACATGTATAAAGTTATAGGTAGGTAGGTGGATGTTTGAACAGAGGAATGGATGGTCAATCTTAACTCAGTTCCTTCCATTTTGTAAATAACTGTTAAATAGTATATGATTATTATTGATGTTATTTTGTTAGGTTGCTTGGCCAAAATTTTAGAAGTATTTTACAGTTTACCTCAATGTCTTGGTCAGGTAGTGATTACATGAAGATGTAACTTTGTTGTCTGTCCCTTTATTAAAAAAAACTTTCTGTTCATCAGGACAGCCCCTTCATTGTAACAAGGACAGATTAAAGGTGTTTCCTTGTATCTTTAACTCAACAGCATACAGAGATTCATTGATATTTTTCCCTCCATTTCTTCATAGGAAAATTACTGGCAATGCTATGTTACAGTTGGGGCCCTTCTTATACTGGACATTTCTGGCTGCCTTTGAAGGGACAGTATTTTTCTTTGGAACTTACTTACTTTTTCAAACTACATCTTTAGAAGACAATGGAAAGGTAAAAAGAACATGTATTTTTCCCATAGGCACTGCATTTGTCCTACTTTTATGGTAATCATTTTACAAATTATTTTTCTTAACACTAGGTCTGTAACATAAGGAAGTACTGGAGTAATAAACCACTTGTGTGTGTGTGTGTGTGTGTGTATGTGTGTGTGTGTGTCTGTAGTTTTTAGGAACTGAAGAGAGTTCTTGGGACTTTAGACTTTATACCTGTGTGTTGTGATAGGAAAAATGCTTTTTCCCATGTTACTGCCCAGCATAGCCCTCTGCATTTCTAATTCATAGTTAGTAGCCTTCCTTCCATGTTTGGAGTTGAAGGGGGTAGCTACTGTGTCTTTGTAGTATCAGACGAGTATGTAAAGAGGGAGGTATTTTCTTTATTTTCAGTGGGTGTGCAATGTTCTTTAAAAATACTGTGTTGGTTCTGCTAGTGTGCCTTCTGAGAAAGTGACAGTGTCAGTGAGCAGCTGCACTGGGATAATTTGGGCCTCCCCATATTCTAGGAGAGAAATACTGATGTGGGAAGGGAAGAGACCATCCTCCTGCAGCCACACACTGAGAAGCTGAAACGGCTGCCTTGCATGTTGCTTTCCCTATGTTCTCCTTTGCTGTGCTTGAGACTCTTCTTTTATGCTCATTCTTACTTATCATAAATATGAAGCAAAAAGCTAAGTTGCAAAAATAATTTACTGCATATAATATGTCTGAAATCTACACAACTAACATCTCTTACAAAAGTGTATGCTCAATGAATTTGAATGATACATTGAAATTATAGTCAGACATTCCTAATTTGGGCTAACAAGTTAGTTTAGTATGGATCCTATCTAATTATTAATCATAATGTAACTATTAGAAAAACATTAATTGACCTTAGAATACATATACCTAGCACTTGCCACAGAAGGTCCTGCTAAATCTTGGATATCCTTGGGAAAGTTACATTAGCTTTCCAAGTCAACTTTTGTCTTCTAGTAAGTAAAGATTCAATTTTATTATTTCTCAGATCCTTCAGCTATGAGTAGTTCTGTGACTTTTACTTTTTATTTTTGACACAAAAATTGTAACAGGCTAGTGCTTAAATTGTTTCAGCCTCGTGGTGGTGGTAATACATGCCTTTAATCCCAGCACTTGGGAGGCAGAGGCAGGAGGATCTCTGTGAGTTCTAGGCCAGCCTGGTCTACAAAATGAGTTCCAGGGCAGCCAAGAACTGTTACAAAGAAAATCTTTCTTGAAAAACAAACAAAAAAATTTTGCTTCAAATTTGCTTTATGTTGACATTCATGGGCTTAGCAAACATTCCACGTGGTATATAAGAATCATTGGCACAACCTTTTTCCAATTCATTTTGCATTTTGAGTTTATGAAGTCCAAATTAATATTTTATTGTATATTTTACAGTCCTTTTTAAGTGTTTGCTAAAATTACATAAGCATAAGAATTTTTATTAGCAGCTAAACCCATGTATGATTTGGTTGAATCCTTTTTTCTTCTAGTAACCTTATTTTGTTTTTTTTTTTAATGTTTTACATCTCATTTTCTGTTTCAATGTTATGCATTCAGATCTTGACACCGTTTGGTAAGCATATGTGCCATTCATTGTCATTGTTTGGATTTATAAGTGGTACTGCTTCTCTTTGTTGTGCACATGCTATCAGATGTAGTAATAATTAGACTCACTTTTATAATGTGAGTCCACTCGTGTTTATATCAGAACTTTCTTTAAATTCTAGAACAAAAACATCAAACTCATTAGTGACATGAGTCATCCTGATGACTTATTTTGATGAATGGTGCTTCTAGTGAAATAGTAATTTTCCCTCTTACTATATCAAACCAATGAGCTCCCTGTTTGATGCTGCACGGTAATTAACCCAGCCAACCACAGGTGTGGTGTATCTATCCATGAAAGTTTAGCATTGTGACTTAATCTTATTGACCAGCTATTTTCCTAAATAATTCTTAAAAAGATCTTTGGCAGTTACATGCAGGATTAAACCTGACTTTTTTTTCTTCAGCAGACTTCTGTATTTATGATACATGTAATGGTTAAATGTTTTTCAGATATATGGAAACTGGACATTTGGAACCATTGTTTTTACAGTCTTAGTGTTCACTGTAACTCTGAAGGTTAGATTTATTTTTCAAATATATTTTGTATAATCTTTGTCTCTTAATCTTTGTGCTACTGTATGTTATCCAAGCCCTTATCTGCTTACTAAAATGTATATGATGCTAAGTGTTTTAACATTGTATACTATTTATCATTTTTTCTAGTATATGTTGTATGCTATTTTGTTTTGGTATTAAGAAATTCAGACACCATTGTTAGTATTCAGGCATTTGTACTGTCCTGTCCTGTCCTGGGGTTCTGACAGAATACGCCCTCAGCTGTCACTAAGAGCACCACCACCTGTGCATATTCACTATATTCCCTTTTAAAAGGACCCTGCCCACCTCCCATGTCTCCCTTTCCCTCCCTCGCCCTCTCCCACTCCCCTTTCCCTCTCCACCCCCCTTCTCCTCCTCTTCCCCCCTCCATCTGTCTCTGTCTTTGTCCCCTCTCTGCCCCTGTCTTCTCTTCTGCTGCTCCTGTCCCCAGAAGCCTGTCTCCCCTCTTCCCTCCCCCTTTCCTATTCACTTTCCTCCATTAATAAAAACCCTCCACCCAAGCTCTGTTGCCTCTTTGTCTCACGTGCCACTTTTTAATATTACAACCATACTTATTGGAAACCTATTTGACTGTTTTGTTTTATTTTTTGAAAACTTTTTCATTCACTATATTCTGATCAGGATTTTACTGTCCTCTAATTCCTCTCAGATCTTCCCTACCCACTCTACTCCATGCCCTTTCTTTCTGTCTCTTTAGAAAACAAACAGGCAAACAAAATACAAACACTACATTGGAAGCCAGAAGAGGAAGTGGGCATGGATTTCCACCCCTAACCTAGAAGCTGTATTCAATTGACGCACACTTGCAAAGAAAAACCTGTTGTTTTTAAGGCATTAAACTAAATTAAATATAAACAGGCTGAAAGTTTGTGACTATATAACTATACTATTTCTATGTTGAGAACTTGTATCATAGGGCTGAAGAGATTAGTCAGCAGAACACTTAGTTTTGCAAAAGAGTGGAGTTCTGTTCCTAGCACCCATGTTGCAAGATTCACAACTGCCTGTAATATTGGCTGCAGGGTATCCAACACCCTCTTTGGTATCTGCATACATTTTCACATGAAAATAAATAAAATATAAATATTTTAAAAATTTGTGTATTTTGCCTGCATGTATTTCTGAACACCATATGCATAAAATGCCCACTGAGGCCAGAAGAGGGCAATGATCTCCTTTAGACTGGAATTAGAGACAGTTGTGAACCACCATGTGGATGCTGGAAATTGAACCTGGGTCCTCTAGAAGAGCAACCAGTGTTCTTAAACCATTGAATCATCTCTCCAGCCATTAAATCATTTTTTAATTTAAAAACTTGAATCTTTAAAAATTAGCATCTATGCCGGGCGGTGGTGGCGCACGCCTTTAATCCCAGCACTCGGGAGGCAGAGGCAGGCGGATCTCTGTGAGTTCGAGGCTGGGCTGGAACGATAGCCTCCGAAACAATACAGAGAAACCCTGTCTCATAAAAAACAACAAAAAAAAAATTAGCATCTATTAAAGGATCCCTGACTGGCTCTAAAAGAATTTTAGTGCTAAAGACAATTAAATAAATGTCTGTGTATAAGACATGTATGCAAAAGAGCTTGGTGTTAATGCAATTTTATAAAATCTATTACTGAAATTTATCTAAATGTTAGTTAATGAAGTATATAAAGATATGTGATAGGGATAAGCATAATTGTCTGTGTCTATGATTCCTGTATTTGAGAGACTGAGGCAAGAGGATCACCAAGAGTTCACAGCAAGTCTGGCCTACATAGTGAGTTCCAGGTCAGCCTGGATTGAGTAAAAGATCATGTCTCAAAAAGAAACAAAATTATATTCTTGCAACGGAATATCATTGTCATTGATACGCAGCCATGTAATAATGCTATAAAGCCTTGCTAAATGCTGTCCTTGCGACTCATTAATTGGTACTTACTTAGTTAAAAGCATAATCTGATCCTTCTAGTAACTTTTCATATGGAGTCTTAGGTTGAATTAGAATTCAGAAGTATCATTATCATAGAACTTCTCTGTTTTCTCTATAATTTTGTTCTAATATTTTCATTATTCATCTGCTAATTCAGTAGAACTTTACTATGTATTTTTTATTTTTTATTTTTTGTATTTAAATTTTTTTCATTTTACATACCAAACACAGTTCCCCCTCCCTCCCCTTCTCCCGCCCCCCCTCTTCCCACCCCCAATCCATTCCTGAGAGGGGGAAAGGCCTCCCTTTGGGAGTCAAAGTCTGGCATATCAACTTGAATCAGGACCAAGCCCTGCAAGTACTTTTGTAGGACTTTAAATAAATAATACATTTCATCTCAGGCTAACCATTTCATAACAGTGTATCCTTGAGCAAGTAACTCAACTTATTTGTAGTTCAACTTCTATAAAGTAGAGCTAAAAGTAGCACTTTCCCCCATTTTCGGGGTTTTTGTGATAAGTCAGTCAATTAATGAAAATATTTGAATGGAAGTGTCTAGAATGTACAGATTATAATCCATGACAATTGTTACTGTTATTCTGTTTCATAAAATCATGGAAGTGTCCTGCTTTCCCAAGCTTATGGCTCTCGTACTTGTACTTTGCTTCACAATTAGAGTCAGCCTAATTGCGTCGTGTGTACCTCGTGGTGTACACTCCCTCTTTCCAAGGAGTACTATCGTATCATTTTCCCCTAGCAGCCCAGAGTGGGAACTCAGGATGGCTCTGCTTCACAGTGTTATCTACACCCTGTTATGAATGAGAAATTGTAGCAGAACTAAGGACCATGGGTCTCAGCAAATAAAGGAAATGCTCTGCTTGGTAGCCTGTGTGAGCTAGACATTTTAAGCAAACACATGAGGCTATACTGTTTCTATATCACATTTGAAAACCAAAGGTACCACAATAAAAAAAAGTCACTATCAATCTTTATAGAAATACGATTTTTTAAATGTAAGGCAACTAAATATTTTACTAATTTAATGGACTAGATATTGGTTTTGTAGTTGGAAATCTAGGCCCATGATTCATTGTACCATGGTTTATGATGCATACAGGTAGTTTCTTCAACATATAATGACTCTTTTACCTGTTCATGCTTTTACAACTCTATGTCTGCTCTTTTTAGCTACTCTTCCACTCCTGATTTTTGGCATACCTGTTATATCCCTTGTTACTACTACCTGAAGATTTGGGACTTTGGCCTCCCAGTTATTACCATTGCTTCATTTGTCACCTGCCTCTCACTACTGAGAAATCTCTAGCCCTCTACCTACGAAGTGCTTGAGTTAACTACAATACCTGTACTATAGAATTGAGACATCAGGGCAGCGCTCAACATTCTTTCTTTAGTACTTTGAAAAGTCTAGTTTCTGCTCTTTTTAGTTACATCCCCTTCTAAAGCCATGGTCAGGGCTAAATACTCCCATAGCTGTTGTAATATGTATAAATTATCAGATGTTATAATTATTCCCAATTTTATTTTGTGCCTGTCAAAAAAATGCTTTTGTTGTATCTTTTCAGCTCGCCTTGGATACTCGATTCTGGACATGGATAAATCACTTTGTGATTTGGGGTTCTCTAGCCTTTTATGTTTTTTTCTCATTCTTCTGGGGAGGAATTATTTGGTAAGCAGCTCTACATATATGATCAATATTAAGTAACAATATATATGTATATTTAATATTAATGGACTAGATGTAACTTATACCTTGTAATGTTGCTACTTTTAGGTAAAATGTAAAATATGAATATGTTATTAGTCCATTCATTCAATTCAAATATTCATTCAATATTTGTATAGCCTCTGCCCAAATATTTAAATTTATAGATATATTATCAGCTCTCTGTGAAATAAAACAATTAATAGCCTGACTATGAATGTGATTTCCAATAGAAATGCTTGTCCTATGAAATCTCAACCTGATAACATTGGCTAAAATATACATTGTTGTTTGTTCATTTAGACCAGTGGTTCTCAGTCTGTAGGTCACAACCTCTTTGAGGGGGTCACATATCAGATGTTTACATTACAATTCATAACTGTAGCAAAATGACAGTTAAAGGGTCACAGCATTAGGAAGGTTGAGAACCTGATTTAGACCTTATTATCACTTACATGATAGCATTTACCTTTAGTATTTTAGGAGAAGCAGGATCATCAGAAGTTCAAGGTTATCCTGAGCTACAATAGTGAATTTGATGCCATCCTAGGATACAAGAGACCCTGTGTAATCCTTCACACACCCCAAAAGGGGAGGAGTTTCTGTTTTGCAAAACTATTTAAGATAAGAATCCTGAGAGAATGGAGCAGTATTTATTCCTGTCATACAGAAGGACTCTGGGAACCCATACCACATGGAGAGATGATCACTCAGCCTGGACACATGAGGAAGAACCTGGGCCCTTCCCGGGATGATGTGACAGACTCTGAAAATCCCTCATGGAGGCCCTTCCCCTCCCTGGGGAGCTGAGGGGGGGTGGAGTGGGGGTGATGGGTTGGGATAATTGGGGGGTGGGGAAGGAGGGAAGGGAGAGGGAACTGAAAGTGACATACGTAAAAGGATAAATTAAAAAAAATATATGGAAGCCGGGCGGTGGTGGCGCACGCCTTTAATCCCAGCACTCGGGAGGCATAGGCAGGCGGATCTCTGTGAGTTCGAGGCCGGGCTGGACCGACAGCCTCCAGAACAATACAGAGAAACCCTGTCTTGTTTTATTTATATATATATATATATATATATATATATATATATATAAAGAGAGAGAGAGAGAGAGAGAGAGAGAGAGAGAGAGAGAGAGAGAGAGAGAGAGAGAACCCTTTAAGAACATGATAAAATAAAGAACATGGTCAGGTGTGGTGGACACACCTTTAATATTAGTCAGAATTGCGGGGTGGGGGGGAGATAGAGACTTATAGCCTGGTTATCAATGTAGTAAGTTCCAGAACAGTAAGGTCTATATAGTGAGAACTTGTCTCAACACACACACTGAATCACTTATAAAAAGTGAAATTATAGCACATATTTGGCATCTCTATAGTGAATGATTAAGAACAGCAAAACTGAAAAAAAACTTCTGCTTTCTTTTGTATTATGCAACTAAACCAAAATTTATTAACTAAATGAAATATGTAGTTGTCTACCCAAAATTCTATAATTCTGTGACTCTATAATGAATATCTGAAAGTTAGACAAATTTCCACATAATAGAATGCTTCTAGAACCTAAACAATTTTGAACCCTACATACAGACTTTTCCTCATTAAGTCATTTAAATTAAAAGACTTTGTTACACTTACTTACATTCATTAAGTGATACCTACTGAAAATGTAGTACAATAATCTTTCCTTATATGGTTTCTCTTGGGGATCAGTTGTTCTCAATGAAACATACACTAAGAGAAAATATGAAAAGTTTGAAATGAGTTTCAGTGGTGTGATAAAATTAGACGCCACCCAGCTCTGTCCTGTTGGACACATGAATCATCCCTTTGCCCCATGCACTCGAGCCACATAGACCACCTCCCCGTAAACTGCTTAGCAACCATCTCTTTCAGGTCAGCTGCCATGGAATCACAATGTTTGTACTCAACTGACCCTTTATTCTGGGTCAGCAGAGTACAAGAGTGACGATACTGGTGACTTTGCTATGCTGATTTTATTTCATTATTGTCTTTTGTGCATGTACTATAAGTTAATCTTATTACAGGTATTACTGGAAACTGTCATGGGAGGGTATTAATTATAGCTTCAGGTACCCACTAGGACTTGTGCACATATAATCACATAGATAAAGGAAGACTAAATCTTTGATATATTTTGTTTCTTGAAATTCTGTGCTTAAGCAGAATGGTTCAGGTTAAACTACACCAGCTTAAAATTATAAAGCAGCAAACAAATTGTGACTATGAATTATGTAAAACCTTAGATTAATTACAGCTAATTGCTCTGGACATCTTTTACACAAGAAACGTTGAGCCAACCCTCCCCACTTTTAAAATCTAAGAAATGTACTGTGTGTGTGTGCGTGTGAATATGGGTTTGTGCATGTAAGTGCAGTGCCTGTGTTTAAAATCTAAAAAACTGTGTGTGTGTGTGTGTGTGTGTGTCTGTGTCTGTGTGTCTGCGTGTGTGTTTGTGTGTCTGTGTGTGTCTGTGTAGGTCAGAAAAGAAACTAGTTCATGAGGTGTGATGTTACTGTCTACAACTCAATTTAGAACAACACTTTAGATAGTTAGATTTTGTGTTATATAGTTTAGAGGATAAGGGAGATTGAATGTGTTTCTCAACTCCATTTAACAGTTCAGAGGATGATTTGAAATGAAATCTAATGGCAGATAAAAGATTCTCCTGGATTTCTGGATTCTAAGGCTTACTGTCTTATTAAAAGTAGTCTGCTATCTATCTCCTGGGCACAGATTGTTATTCAATATATATGTTTGCAGACAAGAGTAGATTCCTCTCATTTATGAGTGACTGAAAACTGTATAGTTCCTTTTCATTTTTATAGACATTTTTAAGAGGGTAATTTGGGTAATTCATTTAAGAAGTTAAATTTCTGAATGTAGAGAAAAAATTCTTTCTTGTTTTACTAAGGTGAAGAAATAAAATGCTTATTAAGATGGAAATTAACTTCATTTCTCTTAAATATCTTTAAGCTCTGGCATTTTCCAATGCACATACATATCACCATTTGACAGCTTTATAATTGAATGCATGATTGTTTCCAAGTCACATGAATTTTGTTTATTTCTCCTTGATTCACATCCCTTTTCTTTCTAAACATTTGGTAAAAAAAAAAGTTATCAATGCTTTGGGAATATTCTGGAGAAAATAATATTAATGTGTGTGTGGAAGAATCCTTTTAAATAGAAAAGATGGGAACTGATTTTTTTCTATTCTGTGTTTTCTTTTCATTACAGGCCTTTTCTGAAACAACAGAGAATGTATTTTGTGTTTGCTCAAATGCTGTCTTCTGTGTCCACATGGTTGGCCATAATTCTTCTAATATTTATCAGCCTTTTCCCTGAGATTCTCCAAATAGTAGTTAAGAATGTACGAAGAAGAAGTGCCAGGGTAAGAACTAAATTTGTGATCTAGCCTAATATTTGGAAGAGGCATCACTGTCTACCGTGAACTAAAAATCTTATTTAGAGAATTGCATTAGTTACAGCATGTTAAACCCCTCCTTGCAGGTTCATCACTTAATTTCCTCTTCTGCATAAAAAGTATAGTAAAAACTTCGTTATCCAATGCAGGTGGTAAGTAGATTCCTTAATAGTGTTCTATGTGATCGTTAGCAGTCCATATGGAGTATCTCATATGCTCCATATGGAATTTCTAAAGGGAAAAAAAGACTTTATTTTGTATTTATCTAAGAATTTTCACATCAGGAATTTCCACACCAACATTTCAGCCTTGACCTTAGAAATTTCCCTGTGGATTGTTTGCAGACTTTTTCAGTTGATAATCTTAATTTGCCTCTTTCAAACCTGTCCCCTTCCTTTGATTATAGTGCTGCTTAATCTCTGTGTTGCTTCTAGCCCTGTGTCCTAGCAGTATATTTCAACCAAAGAGAATTCCTTAGATGTGGTTTTAACATCCTTACTCTTCAGTACACACTTGTAAAAATTCATGATAGTTTATAAGTGTGTTTTTATATTTAACTATTAAATTATATTTCTGTGGAGAGAAGTTATTTCCCTCTGTCACATTACCTGATATCTTTTGAACATTTCTTTAAAAGCTTTTAAAGTGAAAGGGTTAGAATTGTCAAAAAAAAACACTGGCAATTTTTTTTTTACCAGCAGATTGATTAAGTATATTATATTCCTGCCAACACTTGCTCACTTTGTTAAAATAAAGTCCTATTTCCTTTGTGTTGATATTAACTAGCTCTTCTAACACCTAAGGCAGTATTTTTGGGAAATACTCTAGTCATGACCACCTGATATAGTTAATCAAATTTACCAACCAATTGAGCCACAAAGCTGGTATATCACAGGAGTCTTCCTGCATATTGAATTACAAAGCCCAGTTGGATGACATTATGTGAGATTATTACAGTAGAAAAGTCAACAAAGTTTTAAAGGGACTTAAGAATACAGCTCTAGTGGTAGAGCTTTGAAAACATTCATGAGACCCTAGGTGTAATCCTCAGTTACTGGAGGAAAAGCAATATATAGCTAAGTGACAAGATTTGCTCTGAACTTCTTGTTTTTATGTGGCTTATGGGATAGAATGATCACAATTTTAGTATAGATAAACCATATTTGTTTACTCTTTTAATCCTTCCAATCTATCCTGGTTTATAGTTTTAGGATGGAAAGTCGTATAATGAAACAGTTTTCTCCTAGACTAGCTCAAGAGGCAATTTTCATATAGCTAAATAAAAATGTTCAAGTATGACAAAGGGAAAGAAAAAAAGAAGAAAATGGTTCAGGACTGGAAATATAGCTCAGTTGGTAAAGTTCTTTCCTAGTATGCACAAAGCCCTGGGTTCCATCCTCAGCATTACCTAAAATGGATAATATGGCCCATGCCTGTAATGTCTGTCAAGAGGATCATAGTTCAAGGCCATCGTTGGCTATACTTGGAGACTCTGTGGAAGGGACAAAAGGAAAGAAAGATCCTCTTTCAGTACAGAATTTACAAAGGAGGTCTCTCTTTGCATTATTCTTCTATTTGGTTTTTAATCTGAAAAGTGTATTTTGGGCTGCTTCTAATGTTTCTCTTTGAGATAATGAAGCTTATGTTGCAAATGGCTCACACTCAAGCTTCATGCTCTTCGGGATACAAAAAATTTTCAGAATTCACAATTGTCAAATGTATTATCCCAATCTTACTTAGGCCCTCTCTAAAAATGAGACACCAGCTGGAATGTCCAGTGATGTTTACATAGGCCATTAAGTAGAGGGGTGTAGATAGGAAGATGCAGATTCATAGACTCAGAGCATCTTTATTCCATTTAGACAGGAGAGTCCAAATCTCAACTGAAAGCATAGAATGTTGCCAGTGGGTCAGCATGAAATTTGTCATGGTTTTTTTCCATGACAGGAAGTATCTAATGTCTGTGTTATAGCTTGGCATGAAAATGTACTAGAACAAGCAGGAAAATTTCCATAATCATTTTCATTCCATCAATCATTCATTCATTCATTACTACAGTTTTTGAACCAGTAAACATTTGTTGAGCCACCTGCTGATGAACATCTCTATATATATCCAATGTCTGAAAGGCTAAATTGTTATTCAGACTCTATAGGATTTTGAGAGTTAAAAATGTGTCATAACAGTTAGTTGTGTGCACTAAACTGCACTATCTTTGTGTGTGTGTGTGTAGAGAGAGAGAGAGAGAGAGAGAGAGAGAGAGAGAGAGAGAGAGAGAGAGAGAGAGAGAGAGAGAGAGAGAGAAGAGAAGAGAAAGAAGAGAAAGAAGAGAAAGAGCAACTGTGTGTGAGAGAGGGAGGGAGGGAGGCAGGGAAGGAGAAATATACACAAAGGTACTATATATGAATGCATACAGGCCAACAGAATCATGGCAACCATAGATCACATCAGATTTCATTGGGCCATTGATAAACGAGCAGAAGCCAACTTTAAATAAAGGAGAATGAGTATCTGAGTATCTTATTTTCCCTTTATGTTTAATGACCAGTAGCGTGACATCATGAGTGGTTTCCTATTTTGTTCAGTATTCTTTGTTAAACAAGAGAGTAGACTTACTTTAAAGCAAAGCAGAAGCTTACTTTACACTGGGTCCTGCTCAGAGCCGAGAGATTCTATAATGGGGTGAAATTGAAATGTATGTACCTAACTAGAATAGAAGATGTCCCTAACTCAGTAAGCATACTACACATTCTCTACTTACTCCAGAATTGTTTGCAGCAGATACCCTCTCAGTATTATCTACAAGTGGGTCTTAGCAGCTGTTTTTAAAAGGAGACTTAAAAGTAGGTAGTGAACATGCCACTATGATGTTTCAGAAAGAAGCTAATATATATTTAATAATTGTAAAGGTGACTTTATTTTGGGTTCCTTTTAGTTCTATTTATAGTGCCTGAGGATCCATGATGAATTCATTAACTATTATAGTGGTGATGATAATTCAGGGATGAATCAAACATGGCCCCAGCTCTTTGGAGCTTTCCTTCTAGTTACATTATAAAGTATGTTCATTCTGAACCCTTCAGTAAGCAAATATAAAATGTAATAATGTGGTCAATTATATGACTTTTGACAGCATATCAAGATTAGAGTCATTTCCTCGTGAAATCTCCAATAAAAAGGCTAATATGGTAGCTCCCAGCACTGCTGAGATCTGTTATGATGTTTGCTTTATAAATAATGCTCACGGAGATGGAAAGATGGCTCAGCAGTTAAGATCATGTGTTCTTAGCCAGGTGTTGGTGGTGCACAACTTTAATTCTAGCACTTGGGAGGCAGTGCTGGAACTCTCTATGAGTTCCAGGTCAGCCTGGTATACAGAGCGAGTTCCAGGACAGGCTCCAAAACAATACAGAGAAACCTTGTCTTGAAAAACCAAAAAAAAAATGATCATGTGTTCTTACAGAGGACAAGGTTTACATAGTAGCTCAGAACCATCTGTAACTACAGTTCTACAATTCTAGGGGAGCTGATGCCTTTTTCTGATCTATACAGGAGCCATACATGCTCATGGTTTACAGAGAAACACGCAGGTCAATATTCTTACACATAAATAAATCTCAAAAAAATGTAAAGAATGCAGAATGGGAAGAATTGGAAGGGGTGATGAATGTGATCTAAATATCTTACACTCATATATAAAATTACCAAAGAATGAATGCAATTATAATTGGCTGAAGATAAAAATAGCCTTTTGAAATATGTATGGGTCTCAAAAAAAATCAAAAAGAAAAGCATATTATTTGCCGGGCAGTGGTGATGTACACCTTTAATTCCATCCCTCATGAGGCAGAAGCAGGCAGATACCTGTGAGATCAAGGCCTCAAGGCCAACCTGGTCTACAGAGTAAGTCCCTGGACAGCCAAAGCTACACAGAGAAACCCTGTCCTGAAAAAAAAACAGATAAAAGGGAGAGGCTGGAGAGATGACTCTGGTTAAAAGCACTTGGCTGCCCTCCCTGAGGTCCTGAGTTCAATTCCCAGCAACCACATGGTGGCTCACGACCATCTATAATGGGATCTGTTGCCCTTTTCTGCTGTGTCTGAAAACAGAGAACTTATATACATAAACAAATAAAAAATTTTAAAAAGAAAAGCATATTAATGAAAAAGCCTAAGTATGATAAACTTCTAATTTGAATTTTTAGAAATAAGCTCACTGAAGTCACTCAATTCAAGGGCTATACCATTTACCTCTCAGCTTAATTTTCAACAAGGAGGTTAATGTTTGTGCTAAAGCTCCATCTTTAAAGATAGTAAAGTTTACACCAGGCAGTGGTAGTGCATACATTTCATCCCAGCACTTGGGAGGCAGAGGCAGGCAGATCTCTGTGAGTTTGAGGCCAGCCTGATCTACAGAATGAGTTCCAGGACAGGCTCCAAAGCTATACAGTGAAACCCTGTCTCAAAAAAAAAAGGAACAGTAAAGCTTTTCTTTAACTTATGAAATAACAGAGCTGCTTAATCATACTGTTGGCAGTGTTTGATGGAACTACCATTGAATGTTGAACAGTGAAGGAGCAAGGTAACACCTGAAAATTAAGGTTTAAGATTTGAGGTATCGCCGGGCGTTGGTGGCGCACGCCTTTAATCCTCTCGGGAGGCAGAGGCAGGTGGATCTCTGTGAGTTCGAGGCCAGCTTGGTCTACAGAGTGAGTTCCAGGACAGCCTCCAAAACAATACAGAGAAACCCTGTCTCGAAAAAAAAAAAAAGATTTGAGGTATCTCAGAAAGCTATACCTCATATAAACACAATAGCCTATGTGTAAATTGTTGAAATAACCCTGTACCCTCTAGGCAAGTAGTAAATACTGATTAACTTTACATTATCAGCAAGAGGATTTTCTAACTTTCCTTATGAAATGTTTTCTCATATAATCTACCTCAACCTAAAAGGAGGCTTCACTACCTGCTAGATATGAGAAGAGTCTTCTAATTAGTAGGAAATGGCCCAGCAACATCCCGATGCCTAGTATATAAGCTGTCTAAACAAAATATGAAAGAATATTCCAATGTACAGACATGAAGCTGTTTAAGAAGAGAACACAGGGAAAGAAAGAATGTCAGCTATCTGACTAAAATCCCCAGAGAATGCATTTTGGAAAATATAACATAATCTTAATAATAAGTGGTAATAATGATGAGTCGTGCTACAATAATTACAAGTATCATATATGATCATGTATTCAGAGGGCAGTACTCCTGAAAAAAATACACTAGTGAAAATAAAATTAAATTATAATAATATTGTAAGGAAAAGTCCTAATGTCATGGTTGTTGGCACAAGCCTTTATCCTTGGCCTCTTTGACATACTGCAACTTGGGCTTGTTTCAGAGCTCAATAGATGACTTTAAAGGTATGTGGACATTTTACACTGTTTTAGCTTATCATCACCTGTCCTCACCTACCACTGCCAGTTGCTAGCTGCTTTTTATTGTTTTGAATACTTTTTCATGTCATGCTTTCTACTGCTTTCTGTATGTTCATATTTTCTTTGTTTCTTTATAAAGTCTCTAAACACGTATTCTATTAATCCCTAAATTTTTTGCCTCCTGTACTACTTTTATCTCTGGTGGTTGTATACAAGTTTTTTTAATACAACAAAACGTGCTTATAGGTGCAGTCTCTAAATAGATAGGGTTGCACATTAAACCTGGAAACAGGGACATGGTATCATGTTAATCTTGTTGCAAGGTTTTGGCCCACAAAACAGAAGATGGAAATAAATTTTTCTTTTGGAATGTGAAATACTTCTCTGGTTTTACATCCTGCCACCATGTCCTCAACTTCTCTATTTAAAGTAAAAGATATAAATGGGAAGAAGTATGGTTATATCAAAACACAAATAAATAAAATTATTTGTATTTAAAGGTTTAGTTATTAAACTATTAGGTATATATAGCACTTGAGCTACTTTCTTTTCCTAAGCCTATTTTCTTTAATAAATAAAAAGATAAGGGTAATCTTCTAATTGTTTGGGTGGATGTTTAGTTGTTTTTTGGCTTTTGAGACAGAGTCAAGTTCATAGTAATCCTCCTGCCTCAGCCTCCTGAGTGCTTGGACTACAATGTGCACTGCCACACCTGGCTAACATGGGTAATCTTGACTAGTGGAGTTGTTGAGTTCATCCCCACCCATAGTTGACCTCCCATCTTCTGCCTTGCATGGGCAATGACAAAGTCAACTCTGCAAGTTAGGTCATGATTTCAGACAGGAAGAAAGAATCTCTTATATTTTCTAATTACATTTTTATGGCTTTCAATTTGAGTTTGAAAAATGTATACTTAACCTAGGAAAAGTTTAGCCTACCTTTGTAAAGAGGTCTCTTAGGTAGAAAAATAGTGAAACTGATCCAATTATGCTAGAAAAAAGGAAATTAACTACGAACTCAGAGTTAAATGGTAGAATGGTTGCACCACCAAATGTTTTCTCATTATGTTGATTTGGGTTAGATTTTTAACCTGTAGCTGCCCATAATGCGTCTGTGCAATTGACTAGGAAAGATAGTTGCTTCAGGTACATTAGTGATTTGTGGTGGAACTTCAACATAAGCTCTCTGACCAATGCATTTTCAACAAACTGAAGGTAGTTAATTAGTGATTAACAAGAGGCATATTAGAATTATTTGATTTAAAATAGTACATCCCCCATTAACAAAATAATTTTAAGTTGATATACAGGAAAACAGCAGCCGGCACATATAATAGATTATTTCTAACTAACTCTACTTACTTTAGTAAGTAACATCTTCAAAACTAACATGTCATTTCTACTTCCAGTTCTCAAGGTTTCTTTTTAAATGTTTTACATCTGAGAGAATATTTACTTTTTCTTTTCTTTCTTTTTTTTCTTCCTTTTTTATGGTTTCTGCATTTTTCTCTTTTCTACTGCAATTTTCCACCTTTTGTGCAATTGTGAACAAGGTAACGAAACGCCTCCCTTCCTCAGGAACATCTACTATCTTCATGCTTTCTCAAACTTCCAGCAATCACAGTTTCTCTTGGAGTGAATAAGGTGATTTCCTTTCTTAATGTACCAACTTGCTTGCGTTCTCATTGCCTGGCACCATTCCTGACTCTTCATAAAAAGTTACTTCTCATAGTTCATTTTTATATTTTCTATTGATACTTAAAATATCTTGTCATTTTCTTTTAATCATTTATTCACCTTCTAAATTGTCTTACTGGAGAGGGAGTAATTTTCAAAAACTTAAACTACAACTTTGTAATATGGGTTATGCAATATAGTAGCCATGATGATAGAACTAGCCTGTTCATGAGGACAAGAGTATTTTGCACAAATTTCTCCTTTTTGACACATGCAGAGCACCAGCACAAACTCTCAGAGGTGTTCACCAAAAGGATGGTAAGGTTCTCTAATCAAGCCGTATTGACTCATTTTACCATATAACCTACCAGTGCCATCCCAGAAACCCAAGTTTACCACATGCCGCCAATACTTATTTACTTCTGTCACAAAAACCAGTTTGAGTTGGAGACTTTCTTGGTCCTTTAAATGTATTCTCTTGAATGTTATGCATTTGCTGTATACTAAGATAATTTGTACTTTGGGGCCAGGAAAATAGTCTATAGGAAATGATTTATTTTTGTCCTACATTTTTATCATCAGGTAGGTTAACCTATCTTCAAATGCTTTAAGTATCTTTGCCTCACTATTACAGAGAAATCTGAGCTGTAGAAGGGCATCTGACTCATTATCCGCCAGACCTTCAGTCAGACCTCTTCTTTTACGAACATTCTCAGACGAATCTAATATATTGTAACAGGTACCTAGTGTTAAACAAGTGGGCTGGCTTTAAAGAAACAGATTAACAGCATTATAAAGAAAAAAATGGAAATATCACTCTTTAAATTTTCTCTGCTGTTGGTGTGGTGAACTTTATACTATTCTTTGCAAAAATATAAAGATGCATTGCTTGGAATATGGGGAAATTTATACTTTAAATTTACTGAAATTCATAATGAAATTTTGGACATTTTAAGAGCTGAATATTAATTAATACTATACATTTAATTTGTGAAGGACAAATTGTCATGGCGGTGCCATCACATGAAAATACTTCATATTGATCTAGAAATTTATGACTTATAAGGATGATTTGGAAAATTGGAAACAAATATTCCAAAATTGCATCTGTATAATACCAAATCAGTTTAGCATTGCATGTTTTTCTGGGAACTATGTGAAAATAATCAAATGTGTTTGTACCTTCATGTGCTGTGTCTGTGTGTTTGTAGGTATACATTTTAAATGTCCTTGTAAACATCTAATTCCCAAATATATGTTAATGATCCAGTCCTCTAATTATAACATATTTGATGTCAAGTTTTATTCAAGCTAAATGTTTCAACTCTCAGGTGAAATCTTTCCTAGCCATTCAGGGGGATACATGCTTAATGACAGTATGTTTCCTAGTTCATGTTTATAAAACAATATTTACCTCAAAAATATTTTAGCGGAATTAATGTATTATGAGAGGGACCCTACACCTCAGAATGACTCCTTTCATGTGCAGTCTATATTTCCTACCGCAGAGGTCTCTGACACGCCAGGTCCTGAAAGGTATTTTATGCACTGAAGGGAATGTGGAGTAATTCCTAAGTGATTCACTTATAAACTTGTCTACTTACAAGCAGCACTGATTTCTTATGTGCACATAAAAATTGTGATCATATGAATAAAATTGTGGAACAATTAACTTTGAATCTGTTCCTCCACTTTAGCCCATTTTAAAGATTGAATCTGTCGGTTCTTTCCCTTCCTATCCACCACATTGTGTATCTGCACTCAGCATGTTACACATTTTTTAATGACTCACCTGCATGTGTTTTTCTTAGTAATTACTTCTTAGTGGCCTTCAAAGTCTTTGGACATTTTGTCCCAGATTGCTTTGTCCTAAGTAAGCCATGAGATGCATCTCAGCTATAGTACTTGCATTCAATTTTGTATCCCCCTGGATTGCTTTCTTTAGCTTGGTCTGTGGTTGGGGGGCTCTGCTGAGTAGCAGACACTGCTACTGCTTTTGGCCTCTCCAGGGCCTCAACTCCTCCAATATCTAGAATTTAGGAATCTTAAAAAGAAGTATTTAATTTTTAATGTAGTTATTTCTTCCAGGAATTGATTTTCATGTAGCATTATTTCTTCTCCAAGGAAAATATTTGGCAATTCAGCCACTAAGTTTGTTTGGTAGATAGCAAACAACCTGATATTTTTCACATATTCTCAGGATGAATGGCAACCTTATTTTGGTTAAAGTCACTATGTCCTGAAGAGTAGGGAACATGAATAGAAAATTGAGGGTATTCTAATGGATTTATAATCCAGTATGATAAGAAAGGTGTCCCAGAATAGTTCCAGAATAGGAACTAAATAGTTCCCTCTTTAAGACCTTCTTTCATTAGTGTAGTTCAAATTTTTTGAGTTTTAGACCATCAAGATGGTTCATCAGGCAAAGGTGCTTGCTACCCAGAGTGACTACCTGAGATCAATCCCACATGTTGGAAGAAGGGAACAGAACAACTGAAGGCTGTACTATGGCATGTGGGCACACACACACACACACATCTAAGAAAACACATTTTTAAAACTTTAAAGCTTGATTTTAGCATGAAGAATCAAACGTATGCCCCCTCTTCTTATATATAACTTCAACGTTTATATTCAGTGGTCAGGTTGTCTATTATAATTATACCCCACCCTGATCTCAGAATGCAGTGAAGTTTAGAGGAGAGAGAAGAATCTGTAGGTTTATTCGGGAAATTTTTCTGGTTCTTTTTTAAATAGATGATGAATAAGAAAAAGAAGAGTCATTTGAATAATAGTAAATCATCTATCAAAAATAAAAATTAACTTTGATATTATGGTGGTGATTCTTTTAGTAAAGGAGTATTTTCACAGAAATTTTCCAAAACTGAACCTCTCAAAGTTCACAAATCCAGGAGCTAGGGCAGTAGAGTGCTGGCTATGCAGGCATAGGAACCTAAATTCAAGCCCCAGCAGCCGCATAAAAAGCCAGGTATGCTGATGCACTTTTAATGGTAATGCTGGGATTCCTTGGAAAACAAAGCAAGAGAATTCAGCTTAGTACATTGGCAAGCACCAGGTCATACTGAAAGACCCTGTCTCAAAAAAGCAAAGTGAGGGCCGAGTGTAATGCTGCACACGTTTAATTTTAGCACTTGGGAGGCAAAAGTAGGTGGATCTCTTGAGAACTCAATGCCAGTCAGGGCTGCATAATGAATTCCTGTCTCAAAATAATAAAAGTGAATGGCACCTAAGCATGACACCAGAGGTTAACCTCTGCCCTCTACGTGTTCATGCACACATGTGCATGTATACTCACATATATACATACCCAAAGATAATTCACACACCAAAAATGTGCAATTTAGTCCTTCAATTCCTGAGCATCTGCTACGTCCCAAGCATTTTACTAGATTCTAGATTTAAAACTATCATGTTCCTGTATTCCAGCAGCTCCCTGCTTAATAGGCAATCCCAGTGGGAAAACCTACTAAGAGAACCCTGGAGCAATCCAAAAGCAAAGAGCAAGCCTGAACTATTCAGCTGACAGATGAAGAAAAATTAGGAATCTAGTTATTGTGTCACTCTTTTCCCTCCTGCATGTGAATAAAACTTGGCACGTGTGTTAAAACAGTTGCTTTACTCTCATAACAAAACTTACTACTTGATTTATTTTTGAAAATGTTAAATGGATGGCTATATATTGTTACCAAAATAAATTTCATAACTCTATATTTTAACTTTTTCAGAATCTGAATCTTGAACTGCCCGTGTTGTTGTCCTACAAGCATATTGACTGTGATTACAGCTAAAGAAAGACAGCATGAAGGAACAACTACAAAAGATATTAACTCAGGATACTCAATATGCAACAAAGCCACTTTCATGTATAGGGTTCAGAATAAATGGCCATTAAAATACCAAACAACTCTCCTAACCATTTACAGTTATAGTCAGTAGCCATTATGGTCAAAGTTAAGAATTATATGAAAGTTTAAAGTAAGCATACTTAGAATTCTGGATTTAGATAGAAAAATGTAACTATGAAATGGATGCTCTTTTAACCCATTGACTTTGTGAATGGATTTAAATATAGTAGTATAAAGTAGAAGTCATGCAATGACATTGAACAGATTTTGCTAATACAGTGTTACTTTTTGCCTGGCAAAAGACATAGGCTGTTTGTATCACATTTCTCATTCCTGCTAAGTGATTATCTTATTTTTTCCACATAAAAAAGAAATACTTGAAAATACAGAAATACTAAATGATATTACTGCATCAGACAAAATAGTTCATCTTCTGTTCAATCATAGGCTAATTGTCTTGGTCTAATATCCTTTCCAAAAAATGCATTGAGTATTTTGTGTGATACTGTTAATTCTGGGTATTATTGTAGAAACAGGGTTGGAAAAGATTATTTGGTGTGTTTCCTTCTGAATTACACACCGCTCATGTATTTGAGACTATTAAACTTGAAAATAAAACACTTCAGTCACTTCAGTAGCAGCCCCTCAAAACAGTTAAGCAATAAAAAGATATTTCCAGTGTCAATTTTGCTGGGTAATGAGGTAAAGTGGGTTAAACAGATAAAAGTAAACACCATTCTTAGCATTGGCGTTTTATGGTTTTATGTGGCAAAGAGGGGAAGAAGAGCTGACTTTAAATCACTAACGGTTTTTATGTGAAAGAAGTTGTGTTTGTTGTGTATAAATACAGCACTTTTTTAAACTTACCAATTTGGTAGGGGAGAGATCCATTCCAAAAACAGTTCAGGTTGTGGAGCCATGACTCTTTAGACATGAACATTGTCTCCTGGAGCTAACTGGGACAGGGGAGTGATCTAATTCTAAACTGTGAGATGGACCTTGGTAAGATCCTCAAACTGCTGGACCAAAAAGGGTTTAACCCCTAACAAGTTCACTTAAAACGTGAATTAAGTGTGAAATGTCTTTATTTGAAAGAAGGATCACATTTGAAAGCTAGGCTAAAATGATATTTAGAAAATATTTTTCTATCAGTTTCTAATATGTTTTTGTCATTCTGACATGCCTGTACTATTTGATGTTTATATTGTACCTTGATTTAGTTCATTCTATTCCAGTATATTTATATAGTCTATATGGCACATTTGATTCTTTCATATATATTGTGTCAATGTTTAGGTGTAATTTTTCTTAAATTCTAGAAAGGTCATAATTTCATTTATCAGAAACCATTCCATAATTACTTAATTTAATTTGTTCTTGTCTATCAGTATTATTTTTGAGTATTTTGTTAGGTGTCATTCACAATTTAAGTGTGCTTTTGTAGCCTGTATTTGAGGTGATCTGCTGAAAGCAAAGTCTTTCTATTTTTTGCCTGTTCCAAAGAGCTAAAACATCTAATCCAGGAAAGCTTTGCTATCTTATTGTTGTTGCTGCTGTATTGTTATTATTTTTACATCAGAACTATAAGGACTGTGAATAACTATAAGAGCCAAATAGAGAGGCTTAGTTAATGCAGAACAATTGAGGAATTGTTATAATCAGGATAATAGAAATAAAACTGAATGTGCGACCTGTTGTGGAGAGAAATCTAGATAAGCAAGTGAGGGGTATTAGGATCATGTCTCAGTTACACATTACATTGTACACTGCAGCTCAAATCAGAGGAACCTGGGTTTGCTTTTGAAAGATTTTTATTAGTGATTTAAAACATGGCTAACGTGGGATTAGCAGATGAAGTAACTTGAAATGAGCCATCCAGTATTCCTAGCACTACAATCTAACCACTCTTATATCGGCACTCTTATATAGAGGGCAAGAAATCAGTAAATAAAAAAAGTAGGATTATATTACCATAATTTGAATGAATTTTGAACTATCAAAGTGTCCATGTAATTTTCCAAACTGTTGTCTATTGTTTGAGGATGTTGCCTATTAAACAGAAAATATTCATTCCATATCTACTACATATACACCAGCAACAGTAGAAATGTAAGCCTAAATTTGCAAAAGTCATAATTTAGTGATGAAATTTTTTAATAACATGCAGTATATAAATGCAAATTTTATGCAGATGTTGATAAAATCATTTTTCAGCTTATAAAATTGAACTGCAATATTACATTTTTCACTTAAGCAATTTTTTTACATCTACTTTGTTGCTTTCTAAAATGAACATGAATGCCATCTTTTATGAATGCAACTTGCCTTTTTCATTACAGAAATTTTCGTTTGATGTAATCAATAAACTTTGGTATGATATGATTGATATTTGAGCCTCTTTTTTAAGTATCAATTTGATATCAAAATGTTATGGATGCAATTTAGTGATAGGAAGTAAGTTTCTAATTTCCTGTTTGCATGTACAGTTCACAAAAGATTGCTACATCTCTATGAATTCAACTGATGTTTTATGGCAGTACCAAATTTGAGGTGGGTAAGAAACTTTTGAAAATTTTTAATAAGATCATATTCTATAGTTGTATAAATAAAGGCTCAGCCAGGATGTACCTATGAATACAGTGTGTATTAATCATGCACAAGGTCTTGGCTTTGATACCTAGTACCAAAAAAATATAAGCACAACCAGCTCAATAAATGCATGTTACTGCTGCCTACACACCGGAGGGAATGTGATGTACATTCTGTGTGATCTGTATTTAAAACCTATTGAAACTATTTGATTCTTAAGTGACCAAAGATGAAGTTTTGCCGTAGCTTGAAAATTAGTCCAAAGATGTGCATATTCGCATCTCCCCGCCATACCTCCCTATATTGCTCAGGCTACATTCAGGCCTTGAGGAAGGCCTCTTTATGGAAAAGTGCTTAGCTGTCAAACCAGTTGCTCCACCTAAATGTAATTGTGTTGCATTTTATACTTCAGTCGCTTCCTTTTGGTAACCTTTCAATTCAGTTAGTACTCTGTTTAGTCTATATTTACTTTTTTATTGTTGTGAGAAATGTGCTGTATTCAGAGACAAGATCTGAATTAAAGTTTCAAATACTGTTACCCAGTGTGATGGAAGTCAAATGAGTTAAGAGATCAGACTTGTTTTGTAAAATTTCATTTGCTACTCAGATAGAAGCATAATTATTTTTATATTGAAGACTAGCTTATTGCTCTGACACTAGTTAATGAACACTTGTCATTTACCAACATTACACATATGTGTAATACATGCTTTCTAACTTACTGAAGTCTATCTTTCCAGGCTCCTTTCCCTTCCCCCATCCAACCTTATGGGTCATTCGCTGTCTCCCTTCTTTGTTTGCCTTCGATTGACCAATACAGTGGCTGTTGTGAGGTCTGAGTGATTTGACCTCTTCAGCAAGAAACACATGCAAAGGTTAGGGGCTGAGGTTATCACTATGGTTATTCAGTGAAAGCTTCTATGGGTGAAGTGCTGGATGCATACTAACGAAGTCAGAAGGCCAGAATTCTGGGAAGAATTACCAGAAAAAAAGGAATGGCATTAGTTAGCTCTGTTTTTATTCACATTTTCCCATTCATTGGATGTGTGAGGAACCAGAGCTCAGTGTCTAGTTCACTCACCCTTGGTTCTAAAGAGATGTTCCTCTATGCGTTAAGTGAGACCTTGATAGAGATCTTAGGAGGAAGTACTGGAAGCAAGTTGGTGGTTAAAATGAACAGATAAGAGATATCAATGGAAGCCGGGCATTGGTGGCGCACGCCTTTAATCCCAGCACTCGGGAGGCAGAGGCAGGCGGATCTCTGTGAGTTCGAGGCCAGGCTGTACCGACAGCCTCCAAAACAGAGAAACCCTGTCTCGTAAAACCAAAAAAAAAAAAAAAGAGAGAGATACCAATGGAAGGTTCTCCTACAGGGAATGTTAAATAGCCCCACCCTGTGCCAATATTTTGTATGGCAGCCTTTGGAAATGATTTGTAAACAATTTCCTCTATAGGTACCATTACATGGATGACATCTTACTAGCTGATTCAAATGTACATACTTTAGAATGAATGTTTGAAATAAAGAAAATTTCGCCTTGTTGGGCATTATAAATTGCTCCTGAAAAAATACAAAGAGGAGATTCTATTAATTACCTAGGATATAAAATAGGTCTACAGAAAATTAGACCCCAAAAGGGGCAAATTAGGGGAGACCGACTGCTGGCTCTTAATGACTTTCAAGGATTGCTAAGATACATTTCCTATGTGTGGCCCACTGTTGGGGTACACCATGATGAATTGAGTAAGTTTTTGAAAACCTTAGGTGGTGACAAGGACTTAAATATTCCAAAAGAATTATCAGCTGAAGCAGACAGAGCATTGGCTTTGGTGAAAAAGAAATTACTGTATGCACACGTGGATCATTTGGATCCAGAGCTTGGTTGTGTTCTGGTTATTTTACTCTCTAAGCATTCTCATACAGGAATATTAATGCAGAGGGAAGATATTATATTATAATGGATCTTTTAAACACATATACAGAGTTAAAAAAATAAAACTTATTTGGAAAAGGTCTCTGAGTTGATTCTAAAAGGAAAATTGAGACTTCATCAATTAGCAGGAATAGACCCAGCAGAAATTATAGTACATTTTACCAGTGATGAAATTGACAAATTATGGGAAGAAAGTGAACCTTGGCAAAGAGCTTGAAGTCATCTTTTGGGAGAGATTAACAATAAATATCCCAAAAGTAAGAGAATTCAATTTATAAAAAGAACTAACTGGATCCTTCCTTGCACTGTATGGTGAACACCAATATCTGGAGCCCCTACATTCTATACCAATGCAATTAAATCAGGAAAAACTGGTTACAAATGAGAAAATTTAAGTAAAATGGGTCTAAGTCCTTATAATTCTGTCCATATAATTCAGAATTATATGCTATTCTGATGGTGTTAATGGGTTTTATATAACCTCTCAACAGCTTTAACTGCTGAGCTGTGTAGCTGGCCATGACCTTGACTTCTTATCCTTTTTATTGAACTCCCCAGTATTGAGGCTACAGGTGTGAAGCACCATGCCTAGTATGTGGTGCTGGAGCTAGAACTCGGGACTGTGTATGTCTGACAAGTATTCTACAACTAAGCTACATCCTCATCAATGTTAACTTGGTAATATTTGAAGTTAGATTGATCATATAGCCTGTTTTATCTTGGGTAATCTAGGTGAATACTATATGGGACTACTTTGTACGATTTTTTGCAGCACATCTGAGATTATTTAAACATGTTAAAAACAATTCGGGCTGGCCTGGGCACCAGGGGACAGGGCAACTGCTGCTTAGGTAGGCTGGCTGCAGTTTCTCCTACACACACCCCACACAAATAAGTCTTCAGGATATCCTTATTCAGGGCCTTTATCTCAGTACTTCACGTCTAACTTGAGAAGGGAAAGTCTGGGGGCTAGAAAACAGCATACTGGCTGCCAGAGACAGTAGCCTGGGGTAGGTGGTTGCGCTACTGTAAAGTATGCAAAAGGACAAGTGTAGAAAGGTTTGCACTAAATGGGGAAATAGGAAGACAAGTTATCATTAGAGGCTAGACACAAGAAGCAGTGCAAGAAGTGAAGTGCAGTGCCTTGGGCAAGGAGACCCAGATGCCAGCTGCGGGGCTTTACAGAGTTTCTAATCAAAACTCGGGGTTTAAGTGCCAGTTAAACCTGCGCTGAAGAGACCTTCCTGGGATCCAAAAACTTGGAACCAGTGGGAAAAGTAAGAGAATTAACAGGGAAAATTTAAGAAAAAGTGCTAGTAAGGGAACTAAAGTTTGTTTTGTTAAAGCATGTCTGATATCCAGCACATTGGGTCAGACAGGACTGTTCATCCAAGAGTTGAAAAAGGTGTTGATTCATCGGGGACTTCAGGACTGGGATAGAGTGTTAGTGCTTTTGGTGAGTTCCATGGTGGGATGTGACTTGTGAGGAGGGGCTTTGGTGGATCTGGACCATCTAAACCAGGATGTGCAGCAAACTAATGTGATAAAGTGTCAGGGAGATGAAGAAAAGTCGGAATTCCTCAGGGGAATGGTAAAAACCCAAATGCTGTGCGATCTAAAGCCTGACCAGCAACTTCATCAAAGTGTTAAAAAAGAAAAGACAGGAAGGTACAGATACTCCCCAGTATACCTCTTGATATGCAGAAAGATGCTCTAGGGTGGGAACCACTTTAGCTACTCCTCTGAAAGGGTGGTCAACGTTGCCTAGGAATAAGGGCCATACACAGCAACCAGAGGCCTTATGGTAAAGAAGGAATTTCTTGGTCTCTACCAATATACAAAATATGTGAGTTTTGGTGGATACTGAGGTTGAATTCACTTTAATTCATGACAACACCCCAAACCACCAGGAGCAATGCACAGCAGTGGATGAATATGAGGAGGAAGACTACAAGCTAAAAGGACAAGGCTTATCCTAGGATTGGGCAATAATGTCCTAACGTAAACTATGTACATTTCTCTCCTGCAAAAAAAAAAAAAAAAAAAGTATGCTCGAAAAACAAGCATGCTGGGGTTCTCACAGAAACTTAATGTGACCAAGGGAGACACAATTGAAGTGGCTTAGCCACAGTCCAAGTCAAGAGTCTATCACATCCCCTAGCTCAAGGAAGTAGGGGGGCGGGTGCAGAGGCAGCGTGGCAAGTGTCTACCAAACCACAGCTACAGTCAGGCTAACAAGGGGACACAACTGAATGTGCATGCAGGACAGGCACTTCCTCCCTGAGTCAGGCTGGCAAGCCTGCCCCAATGCCCAGAGATGCTGACAGACACTTGACTCAGAGACACCAATGAGGAAAGGACAACATAGCAAGAGTCAGCCGCCTGAGTCAATAGGACCTTGGGAGAGGGTATAAAGGCAGAACTAACTTCCTTTTTGAGACATAGGTGTCTTGGTCTCTAGCAGCTGAGGATGACCCTAGCCTTCACTAGCCAAGTGCTGGGATTGCAGGTGTTACAGGTGTGCAACACCACACCCAGTTTATGTGTTAATGGGGATCAAACATAAAATCTTGCGCATGCTAAGCAAGCAGAGTACCAACTGAGCATCATCTTTAGCCTGTTTGATTTTTCAGAAGGGGTCTCATTATATAGTACCAGCTGGCCTATAAACTCACAATTTTTCTCTAGCTTTTTATGTGGGTTCTGGGGATCCAAAATCAGGTTGTCAGATTTTTGGGGCAAGCACTGAGCCATCATCCCAGTTCGTGGTATTTAGGTATTTTAGTAAGCATGGTCTCATATAAGCAGCTTCACATTGCAGGATAGGTTTACTACCACCCATTTTACAGATTAGAACACTAAAGTTCACAGAGATTGTGATTTACCAAGAAATATGCTACAACCTGTACTTACACGGCTGAATTAAAGTCTGAACTCATATTTCTCTGCTTCTGGAACTCTTTGCATTAGTACACAATACCATCTACCATATACCAAAGTGAAGTTTTGTCATATTTGAATGTAATAAACCATAAAATTAATGTACAAGGGTACAAAGTCTCCCTAGATTTGTATACCAGCAGGGCATGGTAATGAATGCTTTTAATCCCAGCCCATGGGAAGCAGAGGCAGGTGGATTTCTGTGAGTTTGAGGCCAGTCTAGTCTAAAAAGTGAGTTCCAGGACAGCCAGGGTTAAAAAGTGAGACCATGTCTCCACACCACCACCAAGAATAAAACGTATACCAGCAGGCCATAGTAACACACACCTTTAATCCTAGCACTCTGGAGGCAGAGACAAGCAGGTCTCTGAATTTGAGGCTAGCCTAGTCTATATAGCAAATTCCAGGACATCCAGGGAAAAGGAAAAGAAGACTAACTAAAAATCCAAGAGACCCAAACTTCAGTACATACCAAATATTCAGAAATTGTAGATCATCTTAAAGTTCCTATAGTTATTAAACAATAGAATGGTAACCGACCAAGGATGCTTTCTCAAGGCATCCAATTACACACCTTAATTTTACATAGATGAAAAATGAGGACCAAAAAAATAGGTTGAAAGAAATGTTATGTCCTCGACAGGCAAAATGGTTCAGTGGATAA